TACCTAAAAAGACAATTGTATCTACAGGACTCAACTCCTCGCCCTTGACAAGCACACTGGTTTTTACCTGTTTAACATTTCGTGTTGTGAATTTAATACATTTAGTTTTAGTTTCGTTTACTAGTAATATCTGCTGCTATATATAATATCTAATGCTGTTACAATAAAAAAAGGAAATGATATTTTATTAGGGTATAGGGCCTCGTCTGTGATGGTCTATTGGCTCTTGGAGGCGCGCGCGGAACACTACGTGCCGTACGCTCGGGTCTTATTCTGGTCGTGCGGCGACCTACCTTCACTCGCCGTCCGCAGACCCGCGCTTTCGGTGGCCGGAGATCATCTCTTGATCCCCGTCGCCCGAAATGTCGCCTACTGCGGCGTCTGAGGCGTTAGGAGGATAATTCCCTCACGCGTTCCGCCTCCTCCTTCGCGAGCATCACTGCTTCGCAGAGAGAGGAGACGGCTTCCCAGTTCTTCTTGCTAAAAACCATGTCCTCAACTAAGGCCGAACGCGAGAGGTCGCCGCCCCCGATCACTTCCTCGAGGACACGGCGGTGCTCAGCCCAAGCAGATCACACCGCCACTGTATCCTCACAATGACGACACTCGGGCGTTTTTTACCGCCGGATCCGAAACAGGCACAAACCGAAGCTGCGTGCCCGGTAAACATCTTCGTCAGGCGGAGGGTGAGGACGCCATGGAATCACTCAAGACGGATTGTCTCAAAGAGGGTCTTACCGCTGATATAACAGCGTGTCCGAACTAGGTTACCCCCTGTACTCGTAAAGTATAGAGAGAGTTTTTTTTATTTCGTGTGGCATATTATTGGATATGTATTTAAAAATGAATAGAAGTTTATTCAGATAATTTCTGATAATATAAATATACTCGGAAACAATCGCTCCCATATTGAAAAAAAGAATACTCCGTCCCCTCCCCAACTTCTGTACCATAAGTTTGGAAAAATCTCGAAAGTAGAACTTCATAAATGCTTTCTAGGAAAATGTGAACTCGATGAGTTGAAAAGTTTTGAATATTCTACAAAAAAATTGAAATAATTTTGTAATTTAACTGTATTAAACTTTTAGCAAGCATTTCAAACGCTCCAGCTACCATTTTCACTCTTTGCTGATGACACCAAGTTCTTTGGAGACCCCAGCAAACAATACCAGACTATTCAAAATGACTTGGACGCCATCCTCAATTGGACCAACAATTGGTTATTGACTTTAAATGCAACAAAGTGTACTGTCCTACATATCGGCAACAAAAATCCTCGCAAAACTTATTATCTGGGAATGCAGCAGTTGACACCGGTAAACGCACACAGAGATCTGGGCATTACCATCAGCAGCGACTTAAAATGGGAAACACATATTACCAGTATCGTTAAGAAGGCAAATTCAATGTTGTACCTCATCAGAAAATCATTTATGTGTCTCACACTAAAAACCTTGGCCTCACCACTCTTGAAAAGCGGAGACAGAGAGGAAACCTTATTGAGACTTACAAAATAATGAGTGACTGCTACAACGTTCCTGGACTTAAGAATATGTATCTTCTTAATAAAAATCGAAATTTGAGAGGACACTCATTAAAACTATGCAGAACATCCTCAAAACTGAATCCCTTGACACACTTCTTACCTAATAGGGTGGTCACGGAATGGAATAAACTCCCAGAAAATGTGATAAAAGCACCCACAGTTAATTCTTTTAAAAACAGACTCGACAAAATCTCCAAATCCATTAATACGCACGCATCAGCTTTCTAAGCTGCTAGTGTGTTCAAGTATATAATAATAATTTTAAACTTTTTTGTACGTTTTATTATTCTCAACTTATCTTCTTTCAATAAAAGTAAGAATCATTGAAATCGGTTTACGCAATCCAAAATTACGTCCAAAAACTTAACATACATAACCCTAGTCTAGTTTGTATAAATTAGTAACCGAATTCTATAAGAGATGGCGCTGTACTTTTGCTACTTGCACTGAATTGCGGTGTTAAGATTTACAATAACTCTTAAGTGATGACGCATATTGTGACAAACGGGAAACTATAGAACCCTACACAGCGCGTAGCCCAATACGCTCTTGGTCGGGATTTTTTATGTTACAGGACGACAAACGTTCCGACGGATTATTATAATGGTAAGCCATCAGTGCCGCCCATGGACACCCGCAACACCAAAGGAGTTACGAGGGCGTTGTCGGCCTTTTAGGGACTAGGGTTTCGGATATTCAAGGATTGGGGAGGGATATGTAGAGGGGAAAGATAGGGTCACCAGTAACCTCACTCATAGGGCGAAACACAACGCTGTGGTTATCTCACGCCAGTTTCCTGTGAGGCTGTGGTACCACTCCGGACGTCTTTCTTTCCATATCTTTGTTTAGTGAAATTGGTTGGCAAACCGATTTACATCTTTTGGGGGTAATCCTATTTTTCAAATATGACATTCTTTTTAGTTTGGGGAAAATTATCAAATGACTTCACACACCCAGGGTGGGGCTGCAGGGAGCGTCAGTCTTATTTTCTAAAAACTCCCCATTCCATTCCAAGCGCCTAACATACGACGGGGAAAAATCAACTATGATCCAATTGACCTGGCCGAAACTTACCAAATGATGTTTCGAGGCTAACTGATTATTGATCATGATTGAAATGTTAGGTTAGATTAACCTATGTCTTGGTTTCTTCACGATGTTCTCCTTCAAGGTGTGTGGTGTCTAAAAGATTAGAAAGTACATATAACTCAAAAAAGTCACATTGGTACTTGCCAGGTTTCATGAATGAGAAGCGGATGGCTTAACCTTCGGGCCACCACGACTACCACTACGTTACTATTGTAAAATAAATTACATATTATAAAGTATAGTGAACTGTCGACTACTTTATGATTAGTTAGTTATGTATTTTTAGTTTGTTATTGTTTATTCGTAGTCCCGAAAGTTTTATCTATATAAAGGTATATTTAAGGGTCCCGTTTAATTTTAATGTAATATTTAAGTGATTCTTACATTGGTGCTTACCATCAGGTAAGGGTTACCACGTTACCCCGAATTTAATGCGAGTGAAGCTGCAGTTAAAAGCTAGTATGCAATAAGATAGCATGCATATAATACAAATTCAACACGATGTCAGTACGTTGGAGTAAACTTACATAGGGGATTAGCAGCAATACAAGGAAATGCTAGGTTTTTGTCCGTCTGTCTTTATAAGCTTTCATTTAACATGCAATGTGTGTATTCAGGTTTGGGAAGAGTAATCTTGCAATTGAATTTTGAACTAAACTTTTTTAACCAATTGAGCTGAACTTCTGTATAAACGTTTAGTTTGCATGACCATATCTTATATCTCTCCCATAACACTATTTAATCCATACAATACCTCTAAAGTATTGATAAAAAAAAGCCGTCTTAGTTACCCTATTTAAAACTGAAGAATGGCTGAACCTGGTGTACTTCAGCTACTTTCATAGCATTATGTCGTATGGCATCTTGTTGTGGGGACAGGCTGCTGACATTGAGTCTATATTTGTCTTGCAAAAGCGTGCAATCAGAGCAATTTACAACCTAAGGCTTCGCGAATCTCTTAGAGAAAAATTTAAAGAGATCAATATTATGACTGTGCCCGGTCAGTTTATTTATGAAAATATAATGTATGTTAGGAAACACTTAATATTATTTGATAAGGTATCAGACAGACATAATTACCAAACTAGACATAGAGATAGATTGTGTCAGCCATTATTTAGATTGGCAAAGGTACACAAGTCGTTCATGGGATTCAGCGTTAAGTGTTATAACAAAATCCCAGGCGAAATACAACAATTAAATGAAAGAAATTTTAAATTATGTGTAAAGAAAACTTTGTGTAAAAAAGCATATTACAAACTGAGTGATTATATTGAGGATAAGGATGCTTGGAGACGGGCTGGTCCTGCTCCACAGGATAATATACCTACACGAATATAAATAATGTTCCAGTGGATCTTTGCTTGAACGGAAGTTCTTAGATTTTGTAAATTTGTAACCATGCTATTTTTATTGTTAAACTTGATAAATTTGTAAATGTGAGTGCCCTGTAACCTATTAAAATTAGTTAGACTAGCAGAATGTCGGTCCTTATGTCAGCTTGGAGTTGTCATGCTCACTCAAAGGTCACATTGGCGGTGGCACGGTCGCTGGATCGCTCGATTCCCTATATTATGGTTGAGTTGGGCGATGCTGGTGTACGTGTCATGCTCGTGAACGGGCGCCGTCAATTGGGACTGGTCAGCTCCGGACTGTCTATTGTCCTTAAGGTTATTTTCTTTTTGTGTTTCTCTGTATACACGCGTTACACTGTTCTCACATATTCAAACTAACTAAATAATGTATCAAAGAATGTTTATGTGACACTGATTTTAAAAGAGTAACCATGGAGTTTCTTGCTCGTTCTTCTCCATCGGAATCTACACTTTGGAACGAGCGAATAGCTTCACTAAGAGGACTGACCGACAGATTGACACTTTGTATCTTTAAAGTTGTATTGACGTTCAAAAGTGCCTGTATGGGTCTAATTTGAAATAAATAATTTTGACTTTGACTTTGACCGATTATAGTTACGGGAAAATTTGAATAATATGCTAGCAATGGTTTCAATAAAATTTTATATTTTGTTCTTTTTTAGTTTTTGAAGAAGTATCTACGAATGATTGACCGTTAATTTAAAAACGGTACACCGAATAATGTGTTATTTATTAGGTGTTTAAACCACTGAAATGCATAAAATTTTAGTCATCTATTTTCATTTATTTACATTGCGATCATATTACAATAAAACTCAACAGGTAACAAAATTAAATAACAAGGAACGTTAAGAAGAAAGGGTGGCAGAACCACCGCGCGTTCCTGTCTGTTTGGTAAACTTAAACGATAACAAGTCACTAGGCGCAACAGAGTATTGTCAATTAAGCTATGGAGCTAAACTTAATATCGATGAGATGTCGGTAGTAGCTTATCTCCTGGCGGGCACCTTGGGGACGGAGGGTCCTTCTGCGCGGTAACCGTTCTCATCAGCGAAGTATTCGATGACCTCATTGTTTCCTTCATTGTTGACGTAGGAGTAGGTACCGCGAACAACGACGACTGAGTGGGGCTTGTTCTCCTCGTCCACAACTTCCTTCAGTTGACCCTGTTCGTTAACTTTGATACCGTTTGAGGTTTCAAATCTGTAAAGTTATTAATTCAGTTTAATATACCTACTTAAAAGTACACTATAGGTTAAAATTTTACCGCTAAAGTTAGGAATATTCCATAAGTTATATCTTATATATAAAAATGAATTGCGGGTAGTTAGTCTCGCTAAGACTCGAAAAAGGCTGGACCAACATGGCTAAATGTGGTCTTGAAATATTCTTGGATATACAGGTCAGGTGTAAAAGGTCTGAAAATTTGGCTAAATAAAAAAAAAATTTGAGGCTGTACGAAGTTTGCCGGGTCAGCTAGTGTCAAAGTGTCTTACCCAAATTCGTAGGAACCACTGGGATCCTGGTTGGTTTCAGAACGAAGGATCGTTGGGATTTCTTCGACGGGGTGAGCGGCGGCCAGGGCCACGAGAGCGAGGGCGACAATGATCATCTGTATTACACAAAACACATTGTTAAAATATTTTATAACACTTTTTCCAACATCTCGGAAACGGTCGTACACTGAAATGGGCTCGGATTCCGGAACTCTCACTTGCCTATCGAAATGCAACCGTATCAAAAGTCACTAATTCAGTGGTATTCAGTGAGACTGCGTTTCTTTCCCGGCCAAGCCGGCCCATTAAAGTTGCGTATGTATAACAATTAAGCTCAACCACCGTTCACAGTGAGTTGCGAATATTTTATACGGAAATCTAAATGAGTTTATACTATAAAATTATGCAGGCAGGTATTTGATAAATAATAAAAATAAACGTACGGATTTCATTTTGATTAGTTGTGTTCGGTTGCAGATGTGCGACTGATGTTCGAGCTATCGCCAACTGAGCTTATATACTTACACTTTTCCCACTAATAATACAATGTCAAACATATAAAGTTGCTTATCCAGATTTCTATTTTGATAGCGTTTTAATTTTATTTAATTAGTAAGATGACATTAAACTTTTTGGCGTAACCTGAAATAGAAAATAAAACGTAGAAAGCAAACACTGAAAGAAATGTTTTAAAAAGGAATGCTTAGTAACAAACTAAGCATTCCTTTTTAAAACATTTCTTTAATAATAAGAAATCTTAGAATTTAATCAATTGTTGTTGTACTAATTGTTTGATAACTTTTGTTATTTCAAATAATAGGTTAGGGGAAAAGTTGCGCCGCAGTTTTTAAGACAATCCACAACATATTTAATGTTGTTTATTTACATTTAACTAAAGTACCTATTTTGTTCGATAACTTTTTGCCACTTTGCAGGTGACCATAGAATCAGAAAAAAAAAACACCGCGACAAGTGGTTCTTGCAGTCCTTTTATTTTCATGTGACAGATCCCATGACGGCGAGCCGGCAAGGAGGTTCGCCGCTTCGAACGTAGCAAACTACGCTGACGCCACTCGGGGTGCCTCCAGAATGCAACTCCAGGGAAACGAGTTGATGGCGTTGGCGATGTCCAGAGACACCGCCATGTCCTACACCTTGACTTGACAATATTTTAATAGATTAATTAATTATTAAAAAATAGATAGTCTTTGCATTTTAAAACTTAGGTACCTATATTAATTTCTGAAATTGTTAAGTACAATATTCAAACTTTTTATATTGATGTAATATCCTTATCATAAGTTAAGTGTTAGCCTAAACACAGGGTTTTACTCAAACCCACATCAGACGGGGTGCCTCCACTCCTCCAGCGACGAACGTAACGCCTCTTTCAAGACGTTTAATGATAGGAAAACCTACCCGAGTGCGCAAAGAGTACAGATATCAAATGTCGATCCCAGGAGACACAGGAAAAAGGAGAAATATATCTGAATGGCGATCGTGAAGCTTGACTGACCTGACTATCGCGTGAGACTGGAACTTTCACTATCAGGGAAATTCGAGTGAGCTCTCAGTCGCTTTTGAGGATTAGCAAATACCGAGTCTCGGGAAACACGGGAATTAGCTTTTTAGTCACCTACAACTAATTATAATTATGAGGAGAAATTACGCGAAAATCAATTGAATCGTTGTTTGTTCAAGGTCAAGTGTGCGATAGCCAAACTTTAGCAAGAACGGCTTCACAGAAAACCGACGTGAAACAACAACAGCGTTGTGTTTCGCCCTATGAATGAGATTACCGGAGACACAATCTTTCCCTTCGCCCAAACCCTCCCCAATCCTTAAATAATATCCGAAACCTAATCCCTAAAAGGCCGGCAACGCACACGTTACTCCTTTGGTGTTGCGGGTGTCCATGGACGGCGCAGCAGCAATAGATGGACATACTAGGTTTTTGTTCGTCTGTCTGTATTTATATTACAAGCTTATCTTGCAATTGAATTTTGGAGTAAATTTCTTTAACTAATTGACTTTAACTTTTGTATACACGTTTCTTTCTCTCATAAAATGCCTCTGAAATATTTTTTAAAGACAGCCTTCTTAGTCGCACTATTTATAACTGAAGAATGACTGAACCGACTATAGTTACGGGAAAAAATTAATTTAGAAATATGCTAGCAATGGTTTCCATAAAATTTTATATTTTGTCCTTTTTTAGTTTTTGAAGAAGTATCTACGAATGATTGACCGTTAATTTGAAAACGGTACACCGAATAATGTGTTATTTATTATAGGTGTTTAAACCAATGAAATGCAGAAAGTTTTAGTCATCTATTTTCATTTATTTACATTGCGATCATATTACAATAAAACTCAACAGGTAACAAAATTAAATAACAAGGAACGTTAAGAAGAAAGGGTGGCAGAACCACCGCGCGTTCCTGTCTGTTTGGTAAACTTAAACGATAACAAGTCACTAGGCACAACAGAGTATTGTCAATTAAGCTATGGAGCTAAACTTAATATCGATGAGATGTCGGTAGTAGCTTATCTCCTGGCGGGCACCTTGGGGACGGAGGGTCCTTCTGCGCGGTAACCGTTCTCATCAGCGAAGTATTCGATGACCTCATTGTTTCCTTCACTGTTGACGTAGGAGTAGGTACCGCGAACAACGACGACTGAGTGGGGCTTGTTCTCCTCGTCCACAACTTCCTTCAGTTGACCCTGTTCGTTAACTTTGATACCGTTTGAGGTTTCAAATCTGTAAAGTTATTAATTCAGTTTAATATACCTACTTAAAAGTACACTATAGGTTAAAATTTTACCGCTAAAGTTAGGAATATTCCATAAGTTATATCTTATATATAAAAATGAATTGCGGGTAGTTAGTCTCGCTAAGACTCGAAAAAGGCTGGACCAACATGGCTAAATGTGGTCTTGAAATATTCTTGGATATACAGGTCAGGTGTAAAAGGTCTGAAAATTTGGCTAAATAAAAAAAAAATTTGAGGCTGTACGAAGTTTGCCGGGTCAGCTAGTGTCAAAGTGTCTTACCCAAATTCGTAGGAACCACTGGGATCCTGGTTGGTTTCAGAACGAAGGATCGTTGGGATTTCTTCGACGGGGTGAGCGGCGGCCAGGGCCACGAGAGCGAGGGCGACAATGATCATCTGTATTACACAAAACACATTGTTAAAATATTTTATAACACTTTTTCCAACATCTCGGAAACGGTCGTACACTGAAATGGGCTCGGATTCCGGAACTCTCACTTGCCTATCGAAATGCAACCGTATCAAAAGTCACTAATTCAGTGGTATTCAGTGAGCCTGCGTTTCTTTCCCGGCCAAGCCGGCCCATTAAAGTTGCGTATGTATAACAATTAAGCTCAACCACCGTTCACAGTGAGTTGCGAATATTTTATACGGAAATCTAAATGAGTTTATACTATAAAATTATGCAGGCAGGTATTTGATAAATAATAAAAATAAACGTACGGATTTCATTTTGATTAGTTGTGTTCGGTTGCAGATGTGCGACTGATGTTCGAGCTATCGCCAACTGAGCTTATATACTTACACTTTTCCCACTAATAATACAATGTCAAACATATAAAGTTGCTTATCCAGATTTCTATTTTGATAGCGTTTTAATTTTATTTAATTAGTAAGATGACATTAAACTTTTTGGCGTAACCTGAAATAGAAAATAAAACGTAGAAAGCAAACAAAACATTTCTTTAATAATAAGAAATCTTAGAATTTAATCAATTGTTGTTGTACTAATTGTTTGATAACTTTTGTTATTTCAAATAATAGGTTAGGGGAAAAGTTGCGCCGCAGTTTTTAAGACAATCCACAACATATTTAATGTTGTTTATTTACATTTAACTAAAGTACCTATTTTGTTCGATAACTTTTTGCCACTTTGCAGGTGACCATAGAATCAGAAAAAAAAAAACACCGCGACAAGTGGTTCTTGCAGTCCTTTTATTTTCATGTGATAAGACGACAAACTATCTAGCAGACGGATTACATAATCGTGGTGACCTGCAACAGCGGAGGAGTTACGAGTGCGTTGCCGATCTTTTGGGGATTATGATTTTGGAAGTTTACTTCTCTGGTCCAGGGTAAGGCGAGAGGTCACCGCCGCCGATCACTTCCTTAAGGACACGGCGAGGCCAAGCAGAGCACCCCTCCACCCTACGCGCCGCCGTGTCCTAACAATGACGACACTCGCGCCTTTTCTCCCGCTGAATCCGAAGCAGGAACCTACCGAAGCAACCGTGCCCGGTAAGCACCTGCGTGACGCGGAAGGTGAGGACACCATGGCGCCTCTCAAGCCACTCCTCCTAGAGGGGTCTTCGGTTGCGACAGACGTTGCTTCTGCTCTGCCATTAGATCACGCCGGAGCTCATTCCGCCACACACTAATTTGGTGTGATAGAAGATCCTCGCCCCGGCGACGCGCGTCTGCGCGCAAACCCCATTGCTTCCAGATCCCATGACGGCGAGTGATGAGCGGCAAGGAGGTTCGCCGCTTCGAACGTAGCAAACTACGCTGACGCCACTCGGGGTGCCTCCAGAATGCAACTCCAGGGAAACGAGTTGATGGCGTTGGCGATGTCCAGAGACACCGCCATGTCCTACACCTTGACTTGACAATATTTTAATAGATTAATTAATTATTAAAAAATAGATAGTCTTTGCATTTTAAAACTTAGGTACCTATATTAATTTCTGAAATTGTTAATATTCAAACTTTTTATATTGATGTAATATCCTTATCTTAAGTATTAGCCTCAACACAGGTTTTTACTCAAACCCACATCAGACGGGGTGCCTCCAGCGACGAACGTAACGCTTCTTTTAAGACGTTTAATAATAGGAAAACCTTCCCGAGTGCGCAAAGAGTACAGATATCAAATGTCGATCCCAGGAGACACAGGAAAAAGGAGAAATATACCTGAATGGCGATCATGAAGCTCAAGCCTAACTATCGCGTGAGACTGAAACTTTCACTATCAGGGAAATTCGAGTGAGCTCTCAGTCGCTTTTGAGGATTAGCAAATACCGAGTCTCGGGAAACACGGGAATTAGCTTTTTAGTCACCTACAACTAATGATAACAACACATTGGAGAAAAAATTACGTGAAAATCAATTTAATCGTTGTTTGTTCAAGGTCAAGTGTGCAAGAACAAACTTTAGCAAGAACAGCTTCACAGAAAACCGACGTGAAACAACAACAGCGTTGTGTTTCGCCCTATGAATGAGATTACCGGAGACACAATCTTTCCCTTCTCCCAAACCCTCCCCAATCCTTAAATATCCGAAACCTAATCCCTAAAAGGCGGCAACGCACACGTTACTCCTTTGGTGTTGCGGGTGTCCATGGGCGGCGCAGATTGCTTACCATCACGTAATCCGTCGGCTCGTTTGCCTACCTATGTCACTAAAAAATTAATAAAGTACATATATTTCTCAATATGGCAAGCTAGAGACATCATTTTACGGTGAACATATTAACAGAGATTAAATACGCGATAGAAATCTCGCGACAAAGTAAAATTCGGCCAGGTCAATTGGCTCATACAACTGACATTTATGCCTTTGACCTTTTTAACAAGTGTCTCTAGGCTTACTGTTGAACAGCGTTTGATATTTTACCGGGTGTAGCGCAGTGTTATATAGTACTTTGGGAGAAATTATTTGTATTTGTAAAACATTTCTTATGAGAGTTATTATGGCGAAGGAACGCCACCAAGTTCAGATAGCGCTTGCTGCAGTTGATTTTTATTAGCATCAATAGATGGACATACTAGGTTTTTGTTAGTCTGTCTGTATTTATATTACAAGCTTTTATTTACCTTCCAATGTGTGTATTTAGGTTTGTGAAGTGGAATCTTGCAATTGAATTTTGGAGAAAATTTCTTTAGGTAACCGATTGACTTTAACTTTTGTATACATGTTTCTTTCTCTCATAAAATGCCTCTGAAATATTTTTAAAAGAAAGCCGTTTTAGTCGCACTATTTATAACTGGAGAATGGCTGAATCGACTATAGTTACAGGAAAATTTGAATTCAGAAATATGCTAGCAATGGTTTCCATAAAATGTTATATTTTGTCCTTTTTTAGCTTTTGAAGAAGTATCTACGAATGATTGACCGTTAATTTGAAAACGGTACACCGAATAATGTGTTATTTATTAGGTGTTTAAACCACTGAAATGCATAAAATTTTAGTCATCTATTTTCATTTATTTACATTGCGATCATATTACAATAAAACTCAACAGGTAACAAAATTAAATAACAAGGAACGTTAAGAAGAAAGGGTGGCAGAACCACCGCGCGTTCCTGTCTGTTTGGTAAACTTAAACGATAACAAGTCACTAGGCACAACAGAATATTGTCAATTAAGCTATGGAGCTAAACTTAATATCGATGAGATGTCGGTAGTAGCTTATCTCCTGGCGGGCACCTTGGGGACGGAGGGACCTTCTGCGCGGAAACCGTTCTCATCAGCGAAGTATTCGATGACCTCATTGTTTCCTTCACTGTTGACGTAGGAGTAGGTACCGCGAACAACGACGACTGAGTGGGGCTTGTTCTCCTCGTCCACAACTTCCTTCAGTTGACCCTGTTCGTTAACTTTGATACCGTTTGAGGTTTCAAATCTGTAAAGTTAATAATTCATTTTAATATACCTACTTATAAGTATACTATAGGTGAAAATTTTACCGCTAAAGTTAGGAATATTCCATTAGTTATATCTTATATATAAAAATGAATAGCTGGTAGTTAGTCTCGCTAAGACTCAAAAAAGGCTGGAGCAACATGGCTAAATGTGATCTTGAAATATTCTTGGATATACAGAGCAGGTGTAAAAGGTCTGAAAATTAGGCTAAATAAAAAAAAATTTGAGGCTGTACGAAGTTTGCCGGGTCAGCTAGTGTCAAAGTGTCTTACCCAAATTCGTAGGAACCACTGGGATCCTGGTTGGTTTCAGAACGAAGGATCGTTGGGATTTCTTCGACGGGGTGAGCGGCGGCCAGGGCCACGAGAGCGAGGGCGACAATGATCATCTGTATTACACAAAACACATTGTTAAAATATTTTATAACACTTTTTCCAACATCTCGGAAACGGTCGTACACTGAAATGGGCTCGGATTCCGGAACTCTCACTTGCCTATCGAAATGCAACCGTATCAAAAGTCACTAATTCAGTGGTATTCAGTGAGACTGCGTTTCTTTCCCGGCCAAGCCGGCCCATTAAAGTTGCGTATGTATAACAATTAAGCTCAACCACCGTTCACAGTGAGTAGCGAATATTTTATACGGAAATCTAAATGAGTTTATACTATAAAATTATGCAGGCAGCTATTTAATAAATAATAAAAATAAACGTACGGATTTCATTTTGATTAGTTGTGTTCGGTTGCAGATGTGCGACTGATGTTAGAGCTATCGCTAACTGAGCTTATATACTTACACTTTTCCCACTAATAATACAATGTCAAACATATAAAGTTGCTAATCCGGATTTCTATTTTGATAGCGTTTTTTTTTCATTGCAGGATGACATTAAACTTCTTGGCGTAACCTGAAATAGAAAATAAAACGTAGAAAGCAAACACTGAAAGAAATGTTTTAAAAAGGAATGCTTACTAACAAATAATAAGAAATCTTAGAATTTAATCTATTGTTGGTGTACTAATTGTTATTTCAAATAATAGATTAGGGGAAAAGTTGCGCCGCAGTTTTTAAGACAATCCAAAAACTAAAGTACCTATTTTGTTCGATAACTTTTTGCCACCTTGTAGGTGACCATAGGATCAGAAAAAAAACACCGCGACAAGTGGTTCTTGCGGTCCTTTTAATTTTATGTGCTAGGACAACAAACTATCTATCAGACGGATTACATAATCGTGGTGACCTGCAACAGCGGAGGAGTTACGAGTGCATTGCCGACCTTTTGGGGATTATGATTTTGGAAATTTACTTCTCCGGTCCAGGGTAAGGCGAGAGGTCGCCGCCGCCGATCACTTCCTTAAGGACACGGCGAGGCACAGCCCAAGCAGAGCACACCCTATGCGCCGCCGTGTCCTAACAATGACGACACTCGGGCCTTTCCTCCCACTGAATCCGAAGCAGGAACCTACCGAAACAACCGTGCCCGGTAAGCACCTGCGTCAGGCGGAAGGTGAGGACACCATGGCGCCTCTCAAGCCACTCCTCCTAGAGGGGTCTTACCGCTGCTATAACAGCGAGCCCGGTCTTCGGTTGCGACAGACGTTGCTTCCGCTCCGCCATTAGATCGCGCCGAAGCTAGATCGATCGATAGAAGATCCTCGCCCCGGCAACGCTGACGCCACTCGGGGTGCCACCAGAATGCAACTCCAGGAAAACGACTTGATGGCGTTGGCGATGTCCAGAGACACCGCCATCTCCTACACCTTGACTTGACAATATTTTAATAGATTAATTAATTATTAAAAAATAGATAGTCTTTGAATTTTAAAACTTAGGTAGGTACCTATATTAATTTCTGAAATTGTTAAGTACAATATTCAAACTTTTTATATTGATGTAATATCCTTATCTTAAGTTAAGTGTTAGCCTAAACACAGGTTTTTACTCAAACCCACATCAGACGGGGTGCCTCCAGCGACGAACGTAACGCCTCTTTCAAGACGTTTAATTATAGGAAAACAAATCCGAGTGCGCAAAAAGTGCAGATATCAACTGTCAATCCCAGGAGACACAGAAAAAAGGAGAAAACTTTCACTGTTAGGGAAATTAGAATGACCTCTCAGTCGCTTGTGAGGATTAGCAAATACGTACATACACGCAAATACGTCTCAGGAAACACGGGAATCGGCTTTTTAGTCACCTACAACTAATGATAACAACACATTGGCGAAGAAATTACGTGAAAATCAATTGAATCGTTGTTTGTTCAAAGTCAAGTGTGCGATAGCCAAACTTTAGTACTACTTTAGTATTAGCTTCACAGAAAACCCACGTGAAACAACAACGGCGTTGCGTTTCGCCCTGTGAATTAGGTTACCGGAGACACAATCTTTCCCTTCTCCCAAACCCTCCCCAATCCTTAAATATCCCAAACCTAATCCCTAAAAGGCGGCAACGCACACGTTACTCCTTTGGTGTTGCGGGTGTCCATGGGCGGCGCAGATTGCTTACCATCACGTAATCCGTCGGCTCATTTACCTACCTACGTCACAAAAAAATAGATATAGTACATATATTTCTCAATATGGCAAACTAGAGACATCATTTTACATTGAACATATTAACAGAGATTAAATACGCGATGGAAATCTCGCGACAAAGTAAAAATTCGGCCAGGTCAATTGGCTCATACAATTGACCTTTTTGCCTTTGACCTTTTTAACAAGTGTTTTGAGGCTAACTGTTGAACAGCGTTTGATATTTTACCGGGTGTAGCGCAGTGTTATAGTACTTTGGGAGAAATTATTTGTATTTGTAAAACATTTCTTATGAGAGTTATTATGGCGAAGGAACGTCACCAAGTTCAGATAGCGCTTGCTGCAGTTGATTTTTATTAACATCAATAGATGGACATACTAGGTTTTTGTTAGTCTGTCTGTATTTATATTACAAGCTTTTATTTACCTTCCAATGTGTGTATTTAGGTTTGTGAAGTGGAATCTTGCAATTGAATTTTGGAGAAAATTTCTTTAACTGACTTTCTTTTCTTTGACTGACTTTAACTTTAGTAGACACGTCTCTTTCTCTCATAAAATGCCTCGGAAATATTTTAAAAGAAAGCCGTTTTAGTCGCACTATTTATAACTGAAGAATGGCTGAACCGATTATAGTTACGGGAAAATTTGAATTTAGAAATATGTTTCAATAAAATTTTATATTTTGTCCTTTTTCAGTTTTTGAAGAAGTATCTACGAATGATTACCGTTAATTTGAAAACGGTACACCGAATAATGTGTTATTTATTAGGTGTTTAAACCACTGAAATGCATAAAATTTTAGTCATCTATTTTCATTTATTTACATTGCGATCATATTACAATAAAACTCAACAGGTAACAAAATTAAATAAAAAGGAACGTTAAGAAGAAAGGGTGGCAGAACCACCGCGCGTTCCTGTCTGTTTGGTAAACTTAAACGATAACAAGTCACTAGGCACAACAGAGTATTGTCAATTAAGCTATGGAGCTAAACTTAATATCGATGAGATGTCGATAGTAGCTTATCTCCTGGCGGGCACCTTGGGGACGGAGGGACCTTCTGCGCGGTAACCGTTCTCATCAGCGATGTATTCGATGACCTCATTGTTTCCTTCACTGTTGACGTAGGAGTAGGTACCGCGAACAACGACGACTGAGTGGGGCTTGTTCTCCTCGTCCACAACTTCCTTCAGTTGACCCTGTTCGTTAACTTTGATACCGTTTGAGGTTTCAAATCTGTAAAGTTATTAATTCAGTTTAATATACCTACTTATAAGTACACTATAGGTAAAAATTTTACCGCTAAAGTTATAAATCTTCCATTAGTTATATGTCAAAATATAAATGTCTTACCCAAAGTCGAAGGCACCGCTGGGGTCCTGGTTGGTTGCAGACCGAACGATCGTTGCCTCCGTATCGTCGACGGGGTGAGCGGCGGCCAGGGCCACGAGAGCGAGGGCGACAATGATCATCTGTATTACACAAAACACATTGTTAAAATATTTTATAACGCTTTTCTCAACATCTCGGAAACGGTCGTACACTGAAATGGGCTCGGATTCCGGAACTCTCACTTGCCCAACGAAATGCAACCGCATCAAAAGTCACTAAACTCATGCCGGTATTCAGTGAGACTGCGATACTTTCCCGGCCGAGCCGGCCCATTAAAGTTGCGTATGTATAACAATTAAGCTCAACCACCGTTCACAGTGAGTAGCGAATACTTTGTACGGAAATCTTAATGAGTTTATATTTCAGAATTATGAAGGCAGCTATTTGATATATTAAAAATAAACGTACGGATTTCATTTTGATTAGTTGTGTTCGGTTGCAGATGTGCGACTGATGTTAGAGCTATCGCCAACTGATCTTATATACTTACACCTATCCCACTAATAATACAATGTCAAACGTATAGGTAAAGTTGCTAAGCCGGTTTAAGTAATTTTTTTTTTATTTGTAGGATGACATTTAGCTTTTTAGTATAACCTGAAATAGATAACTACACATACAGATAGGACCCAAAGAAAAAAATAAAACGTAGAAAACAAATACTGAAAGAAATGTTTTTAAAAAAGTAAAGCTTAATAAGAAATAACTAAACATCTTTCTACTAAAATTGTAAGATAAGTTTTATTGTTGAAAAGTTTTATTATTTAATAGATAGTATTGTTTAAATCACAGACTTATATTCAAATATAAGTTAATAATTTAGCCCACAGACTTATATTCAAATATAAGTCTGTGGGCTAAATTATTTCGAAATTAGGGAGGTAGTAAAACGTTGCAGTGGTCTTTTATATTATTATCATTTCAATAATTTTCAGATATTAATTGTTTATTGCAGAATTTGTTTGTGTAGAACTTAGATTTATAGGTACACTCAGGGTTGAGTGGTTACGCGGGTCAAGCAGAATAAGGCACCGAAGCCACGGCCTAGAGCAAGAGAATGATTACCATATCAAAGCCATTAAGAGTGACCCCTTAATACATACATACATAACCAAGTATGAGTAAGCTCCTGCACGAATGCACGTGCATGCACGGATCGGCTCGACCGGAGTATTACCACGATCTCACAAAAAATGATTAGCCGTGTAAGTGAGGTTATCGGAGGCCCAAACCCTTTCTCCAAAACCCTAATCGCAACGCACTCGTAACTCCTCTGGAGTTGTGGGCAACCATGGAAGGCGCCGATTGATTACCATCAGCCCTCATAAAAAAATTACACTTTTTTTTAAGATTTTATTATCTCACATTGCTGTATCAATTTAAATGTCCTTTAAGTGTAGCTCAGTGTTTCAGTTAGATAGTCTTATAGAATGAATCAAAATTTATAATCACTTGAATTAATAAATGGGTATAGTCATTATAAAATTTCAAAAATTAATGATTGTAACTTATTTTTATTGAACTATGTACATTTCAAAATATAATCCGACTAATTACATCAATATATGTAATAATAGTCTCTACAGACATACGAATATGGTCGTGGCCAATCGCGTCGATATTTAGGTATATTGTTTGTGTTGTAGGAAAGTTTGAAAATACACGGGCTGTATTATATTCGAAATTAGTCCGAGGTATATATTATATACCTTATATAATATATACTAGCAGCAGCCGCCTTCTGTTGCTCTTCGACGCGATTTTTTAGATTTAGAAGAAAAATAAAAGCGGCACCTGGCAACACTGCTATGCTTTGTCATTCGTTTTCTTCGCGCTCGCAAGACGCATCGTAGAAATTAATCGTTAATAGAAAATAACATAATTACTTAATTTGAAGTGTTTATTTTTAACCAAATATGCCAAAACGTAACAGGGAAGATAAAGAATACAAGGAAAATAAGAAAAGAAGGAAATTGGCAAAGAAGATTGAAAAATACAAAGCCAAGATGGCGGAGCTTGATCGTATTCGTAAGTATATTTCATTGAAAAACTGTACAATTACAGGCAATTATGGTATTATGTGTTACATATTACCAACTTCTCGTTGAGAAGTTAGTACTCACACCGTTTTTACGGTTTTTAAACCTTCAATACTTGAGTACCTATCACTATCAAGATCGAGCACATGTCCTTGTCCTGTAGGTAGGACTGTAGGACGAAAATAACGGCATAATGTGTTACATTTGCCTCCTTCTCGTTGAGAAGGTTATGCTCTGGATTGTCGAAAATAACAGGCTCCCAACACGACCATTAGCCAAGGGTAATTTGTGTTACATTTTACCAACCTCTCGTTGAGAGGGTTTTTCGCACTAAACACCTGAATGCAAATTATTCAAGAGTAATCCCGGGTATTCCCTTTCCTATAATGAGTAAAATACTACAGTTAACTCTATAGAGTTTGACTTAAAGAAAGGAATTACCAGTGTCAAATACACAGTGTAAATACCCACTCATAACCGTTGTTTTAGTTGTATAACATGATTACCCAAGTAAATAATTTCTGTTATGACAGACTATATACAAACACTTTCTCTGAACGGTTGGGGTGGGTTAGGTACCTACTAGGTACCATTGTGGTCAGTTGGATAACTATTCCATATTTTTTGCTTTAGCACAAGAACCAGAGCAACAAAGTGAAGAGGATTCTAATTATTTCATTGAACAAACGGATCAAGTTCATGCTGTTATAATAGATGAAGAAGAGGATATGGAGCTATCCAGTGATATAGTTTCGGCCTTAGGTGAGGTGATTGGCACTCAAAAGGACTATGGTGATGACATACATCCTAGCATATTGAAGATTATTGAAAACATTTTAACGGGGCTGACAAAGGAACAGAGGAAGACCATAAACAAGTCTGCACTCATACCAGGTAATGCAAAATTACTTGATGCACCAAAACTTAACACGGAGATAATTGGACTTATTAATCAGGCGACCAGAACCAGAGACAGCCTCATGGTAGCAAGACAACAAGATTTAGGCCTAGCTTTAGGCACTATTTGTCAGACAATACGATGACATGACCAAGAAAGATTATGACAAGATTAAGATTATAAAGATGCTTGGAGAGAGTGCCCGGCTACTATCCAATCTACACTGTCAATACACTAATATAAGAAAGAGACTTATCTCACCGTTCCTAGATAAGGCTTTGCAACTCAACCTAAAAGATAATAAAAGAACAGAATTCTTGTATTCAAAACTAGAAGAGACAGTAAAGACTACCACAGCAATGAAGAGAGCGGCCAATATGCTCAAACCAAAGAACTTCTCAGGAAATACTGTGGCAATGCCAAAAAACTACCAACAGTTGAGACAACCCAATCCACCTCCAATAAACAGAGGAATCAACACAAATCGAGGAAGAAGCCAACAACAAACACACAACAGACGGTACCAGCCCCACCAGTCACAGAAGTACCCCAAACGACAACAGCCATTGTCCAGCCGACCCCGAGCCAAGTACCCTTAGAGGTAAATTTTGCTGCACGTCTTAAATATTATTATACATACTGGGAATCTTTTACCAAAGATCCTGTCATATTAGAGTGGGTAAGAGGATACTCTATCCCTTTTTTCTGTCAACCTGTGCAAGATAAGATTCCATATAATAATTCTTTCAATAAAACAGAGATGCAGATTCTTAATCAAGAAATAATTAACTTTCAAATTAGGTGCTATCAGTCTCTGTCAACCAACAGCTGATCAATTTTTGTCCACTACATTTTCCATACCTAAGAGTGATGGTTCACACAGATTTATATTAAATCTTAAAAATCTAAATAAGTTCATTATAACCAACCATTTTAAACTAGTTAGAAGATATTAGGACTCTCTGTAAATTAGTTATACAGGAAGATTTCATGTACACAATAGATCTTAAAAATGCATACTATTTAATAGCAATTAAAGAAGATAATAGGAAATATCTACGGTTCACATTTAACAATAAGTTGTATGAATTCAATTGTTTACCTTTTGGCCTATCCACTGCCCCCTTTGTATTCACCAAACTGTTGAAACCAGTAGTAGAGTATCTCAGAAATCAAGGTATAAGACTGGTTATTTACCTTGATGCCATAATTTGCCTGGGGTCAACATATGAGGTATAACATATAGGATATGTATTCATAATACAAACATTACAAGAAAGTTGTTAGAAAATTTAGGCTTTGTGATTAACAAAGAAAAGAGTTTAGATGTCCCTTTACAATGTTGTGAATATTTAGGATTTTTGGTCAATTCTAAAGCCATGACATTAAGCCCTACTCTAAATAAAAGAGAAACAATTTTGTCTATGATTATTAAATATTTAAAATTAAAATCATGTTCAATTAGAGATTTTGCCACATTATTAGGAAATTTAGTATCAGTTTGTATGGCCATATCATATGGTTTTAGACACACTAAAACTTTGGAAAGAGAAAATTTTTTAGCCCTTGAAGAATCAAAAGGAAACTATGATCATAGACTAAACTTAAATAGTGATATAAAAACAGAACTGCTTTGGTGGAAAAATGACATCATTAATAGGAACAACAAAATCAAACAATACAATTTTTTTTTTTTTTTTTTTTTTTTAGAAATTTTTTCTGATGCCTCACTAAGTGGTTGGGGTGCACATTGTGATGGGCAGAGCACTGGGGGTAGTTGGTCAGAATGGGAAAGGCAACAACATATAAACTATTTAGAATTGTTAGTTGCATATTTCGCTCTGCGAAGTTTTGCTAGTACAATACCCTAAACTAAATAGGATTGCCCAACAAATCTGGCAATGGTGTGAAAATAAAAATATATGGATTTTTGCTTCTTACATTAAATTAAAAGAAAATAAAGAAGCTGATTTTGAATCACGTAATTTTAATGTAGATACAGAATGGGAACTTTCACATAAGATTTTCAATTCTAACTATAGTAAAGAAATTTGGCCAACCAAATATAGATCTTTTTGCTTCTCGTTTAAATCACAAGTGTCCAAAGTATGTATCTTGGCATAGGGACCCCTATGCCTGGAACATAGATGCCTTTACAATTAAATGGAATAATTATTTTTTCTATGCGTTTCCCCCCTTTAGTATGCTGCTTAAAGTTCTCCATAAGATAAGATCAGATAAAGCAACAGGAATTATTGTCTATCCAATGTGGCCATCATAACCATGGTACCCAGTTTTGAAAGCCCTACTAGTGTCTGATATTATGACAATAGGACCATCAGACAATACTCTAACATCTCCTTTCAGAACTCCTCATCCACTTCATCTTACCCTGGGGGCGTGCATATTATCAGGCAAGCTTTCAAGAGGAGAATGATGTCAGAGAAGCAACGGACATCATGATAGCTTCATTATCACAGAATTCACTGAAACAATACAACAGTTGTCTGCGACAATGGTGGTCCTATACAAAAGAATTCAAAATAGATATGTATCAGGCTTCAATTCCTATAATAATTTCTTATCTCACCAGCATGTTTAATAAGGGGTCATCTTATCAATCATTAAACTGCCACAGATCAGCACTCTCTCTCATAATAGGTAGTCGTGTAGGCTCAGACGATAGAATTAAACGTTTGTTTAAGGGGTTTTTCAAACTACGCCCTACTAAAGCAAAATACAATAGTGTCTGGGATCCCAGCAAAGTGCTTTTACATTTAAGGTCCTGGTACCCTCTTGGTAGCTTAAGCTTAGAAAATCTCACAAAAAGCTAGCTATGTTGATATTGTTAGCAACAGGACAACGGGTTCAAACCTTGTTCTGTATAAATATCAATAATATAAAGATTAATAATGAAGGAGCTGTTATACTGATTACAGATATTCTAAAAACTTCCGGTCCAAATAGAAGATCCCTTAAATGTTACCATTCTTAAGTAATAAGCCCGAAATATGTCCAGTCAAGACTCTCATAATATATTTAGAAAAAACTAGAATATTCAGACAGGTAGATAAATCTTTAACAAAATTATTTTTAACTTTTCGAAGACCACACAAACATGCACGAAAGTGGTATTGATACATCAGAGTTCACTGCACATTCTACAAGACATGCATCTTCCTCACGTGCACACAGACAGGGTTTTAACTGTAGACTCTATACTGCAGGCAGTTGGGTGGTCTTCTAGATCATCCACCTTTGCAAATCATTATAATAGACCTCTTCAAGATAAAAATGACTTTCAAGATGATTTTGCTAGGGCAGTTTTAAATAATTAAACTGCACTAATTAGCACCTGTAACTAGTATTAATCATATTATGTAAGAACTTGTTTAGTTGATTTATGATGAAGATTGATATTAAATACTGTGATTATATGAGACTGATGGAGTAGTCTAATTAAGAAGAATTTAAGGATTTTGGTTTGTTACCTTTAATATGGAGTGTTACTCCAGATGTTTACTATTAAATAATTTGATTTTAATATAAGTTTGATTGTTATTACCCAAGTTAATATTATAAATTTTAATTACTTAAGTCTATAAATTTTAATTAATTAATGTACCTATATTGCTAGATCTGATCACAGCCCAAACTACAAGGTAGTTAAATCTCCAAGTAAAGAATTTAATCTTATTAAATAAGCATGAAGGATGTTAATTAATAAATGCCTTATTTTCACCTTAAAAGTTTATTTATGCCTGACCTCTAAACATCTGCTAGTATATATTATATAAGGTATATAATATATACCTCGGACTAATTTCGAATATAATAAATGGATTAAACGAACTTACCTAGTGAAGTTCTATCCATATTATATGAAGAAATTAGTCCGAGGTATGAAAATCCCACCCTCCCAAGAATAATCTTCGATTATTCTTCCCATATGTAGGTACCTAGTACCACTGCTCTAAACTGAATGACAAAGCATAGCAGTGTTGCCAGGTGCCGCTTTTATTTTTCTTCTAAATCTAAAAAATCGCGTCGAAGAGCAACAGAAGGCGGCTGCTGCTAGTATATATTATATAAGGTATATAATATATACCTCGGACTAATTTCTTCATATAATATGGATAGAACTTCACTAGGTAAGTTCGTTTAATCCATTTATTATGCAATATGGGATTGTCAAACTTACTAAAACACCCGAATGGCCACTAACAACACCAATAACGGTATCTTCCGCATATACCGTCTCCGATATCCCATCGTGTGGATCATATTGCGGCACATCCTAGGGACGATTGATATATCTAAATATGAGGACCTCAAAAAGCCGACAGATCACTCCAGATGGAGCCAAATAAGGCTGATGTTCAAGTAATGTGAAGTTCGCGTTTCAAGCGCAATTATGTCCCGCAGCTCCGACCTGGAGCAATAAAAGGACCATAGTGGTTTTCCGTAAGTTCATGATGGTTTTAATAGTCCCTCTCGCCACATCAATGGCGGGAGAAATCATTTGCTGATTTCACCCCTTAAAAAAGTACCAGAATATTTCATAAAATCAAAGAGTCGTTGCTAATGTGTAAAGAATGTCCATTCGACTAGTTAAAATGTACACACGTACAAGTTTGTCGCTTGCCATGCAGACAGTGGTATGACCTTGACCGCCAACCGTCTCGTGCGCATTCCAATACTTTGTAATATACGCTTCTACACCATTTTAGCTAGCGAACTTGGAATTGTATTATAATATGATTTCTTATTTTTCTTTTTATCCATACAATGTATAGGTAACAGTAACTGTTGTTATCGTGTAGCTTGTTTATCATCTGATGGTAAGCATGGACACCTGAAACACCAAAGAGTTCTAAATGCGTTGCCTTTAAGAGTTAATGAGGATTGGCTAACCTAACTCACACGATGATAGGTGCACTAAGCTGTAGTTGTCTCACGTCGGTTTTCTGTGAAGCCGTGGTCGTGGTCACGCCGTTCGAGCCGAACCATTCGTACCGAAGCATGTTAAATTACTATCTTTATTTTCAATTCCATTTTCTTTACTATTACTTTAAATTCCAATGTCAATGGCTGTAAAATAAAACGACGCATTATTGCGTTCATCAACACGAGAAGTTCAAACTAAAGGTGTATAAGGAGGTTAAGATAACACTAAACATTGCTAATCAAAAATAAATATTTAAAGACTGCTGGTGGCTAGGCAATCAGCTGCCATGCAACGTGTCACAGGTATCGCTGTGTACCATACCCGTGTTTGTTTTTGCTAGTTTATCGTGAACGTTAAATATTATATTTGATAACAAACCCATGCAATGAAAAAATTGTGTGGGTAAACGTTTAAAACAATTGTGTGAGGTTACCGCCGGAAGCCCAATCCTTCTCCGGCCCTAATCCCTCATCATTTCACGCCACTTTAAAGCGCGCGCGGAACGCTACACGCCGTACGCTCGGATCTGGTTCTGGTTGGGCGGCGAGTTACCCTTACTCGCCGCCGTCTACAGATCCGCAAAACCTGGACTTATAATTTGAGTATGCGTTGTGATTAATGCTTAAACCCTCCCTGTGTGAGAAGAGGCCTTTGCTCAGCAGCTGTAGCAATTAAAATATGAAACGACGTACAATATCATGCATTGACTTTATCTGTGATACAGTGGATTATAATATCATACAAATTAGGTACCTAATTAAAGAAAAAAGGGTCATTTCGAATTAGAGATTTAATATATTTTTAAGAAATAAATTCTTCGTTTTTCTGTAATAGTATATGTTGTGGTGGCCCGGAGGTTAACGAGATCTCTTCTCATGCATGAGGGTGTGAATTCGAAACCTGGCAAGTACCAATGTGACTTTTTTCGAGTTATGTGTACTTTCTATGATTATTTAGACACCACTGTCATACGGTGAAGGTAAACATAGTGAGGAAACCTGGACTTATAATTTCTAATTATAAGTTTGAAATCGTCAACCCACAATGAGCAAGCGTGGTGATTAATGCTCTTACCTTCTCCATATGAGAAGAGGCCTTTGCTGAGCAGTGGGCACTTATAGGGTGATGATGATGATGATCTAGTCAAAAAAATTAAACGCTAAAAAGTTAAAGCGGTCGTTTTTTATAATTTCGTAGAGGCTGCATTTTGATATTTAAGATACCTATAGAAGCATTAGGTACATACACCCTCACAAAACTTAGAATTACTAATAATATTAAAGGCCAGTAGCTGTCACGCAAGAAATGACATGTCCACTCCTATTGTGAAGGACTAATGAAACATTTTATTGCATCATCTGCAGATCACATCATTAAATAACAAAAAAATACATTTGTCTGATTTTCAAGTTACCTTGATGTTTATGATGTTGAGTAACAAACAAAGTTTTAACGTTCCCAAATAAAAGAAACAAACATATGACTTCAATTGAAATTTAATTGCTACATCACAACAAATAATATAAAAACGTACAAAAATATGGCAGTGAGTGACAAGTACCAACGGGCCACGAAAGACAAGCGCGGGCGATCTTCCGCACCACACTCTTGCCTCATCGTAATCATTATATAAATTCCTTAATCGTTATCAGGTCCTTAACATGGTAGCTGATGAACAACCAATTAATTGATCTCTTCGTTAATCAATTGATCATTCATCTGCGCGATGTATTTTGTAGCTTATCTCCTGGCGGGCTTGGGAATGGAGTCTCCTTCCGCGTGGAATCCGCTCTCGTCCGCGTAGTAACTGACGGAGATGGGCTTGCCGTCCTCTCCGGGGAAGCTGTAGGATCCACGAACAGTAACAACCTTGTGGGGCTTGTTCTCCTCATCCAGAGCTTCCTTCACTTCACCAACCTCTTCACGGACGATACCATTGTCAACTTCGTATCTGTAATATGTATCATAAAAATCATTAGGCACATTTAACATTTTGAGCGATTGATATTACACTTAAAAGTATCATATTTATATCAGAAATGTATATGAAATTACATACATGATATTACATTAAAACATAACGTTTATTATTACAATGAGTTAGCCACACGTTACTTAGATATGACAGACCTTATCTCAATCCACGAATTTTTTTAACAAAAAAAATACGTTGGATGTGCTTACCCGAACTGGTAGTTACCATCGACCTCCTGCTTGAAGTCAGAACGTAAGATCTGGGGCACAGGGTCAGAGGGGGCGGCCACGGCGATGGCCACAAGCGCGAGGGCAACTAAGATGATCTGAAAACAACCCAAAACATAAGGTTTAGTAATCAAATTTTAAAATTTTAAGGTCCATAAGCGGATAATACCCATTAAAAAAATAAATAGCACTTAACACTGATGGTGTCACAAATTTACAGACTCTATGAAAATTAAAACTACATTACAATTACAAGATTTAAAAACAATAGATAATTTAAAGACTTACCGATTTCATTTTGGTAAGTTTGGTTCGGTGGCTGATGGGCGACTGATGCATCTTCATACGCATCATTATCTTTTATACATTTCTCCAGCATCTAACGTAATGTCAAACGACAGCAAATAAACGATGTCGATATTACGGATGCGGTCATCGATGTTCACAGACATAAGTGTAGGTATGTGTACCTACACACACATGAAACACAAGTAAATTTAGAAATATTATATTAGTGTTAGTACGCATTCACGGCCAGTGTGGGTGCAACGTATTTATTTTAAATCACTGGTGTAGATTCTTTATAATAAAACTGCTGGAATTTTTCGACAAGTTCTAGGGAATCTCATCGGTAATAGGGCTGGGCGGGATGTGGTTGGCTAAAACTATGAAATTTGAGAAGTAGGTAGGTAGCATAATCCTATACTTACTTAATATACCTAAGTACAAAAATAGTAAAAAATCTGAAAACATTCAAATTGTGTACTTAATTAGTTACCGTATCACGCGAGGTATCGTAAAGAGCTTCATTGACAAAAATTAAGACTATAAAAGAAATTTTATTTATTTTAACGCTCAGTGTTCGTGACCATTTTGCAGTTATTGTTCTAATTTACTTGACGGTTGGTGCATTTGACTGCCCGGTTGGTGCGGTGGCTGAGCAACTGGATGCCGGTAACGTATCGCGGTTTCGGTTCCCGCAGTGTTCTGGGTGTCACGTGTAAATGAAATTGTATGTTTGTAACCGCACCCACGACACAGGGCCTGCGGTCGGCGAGTAAGGGCAGCTCGCCGCCCGACCAGAACCAGGCCCGCGTAGCGTTCCGTGCGCGCCTCAAAGAGCCAATTGACCACCACAGACGGGGCCCTAAAGGGCTGATGTTCAGCCGGGGTTGGGGGGTAAGCGCAATGAGGCACCGCGACCTCGGCCCAGAGCAGGAGAAGGAACAGGGGGGTTTTTAGTCAGTAAGAGTCTGACACTCCCTCCCGCCCGGCCCTAAGCGGGAGAAGTCATTTGATGATTTTCCCCTCACAAAAAAAAAGCCACGACACAGGAGAAAATACTAGTGTGAGGAAACGGATTTTTTTAAGTTATGGTTGGCGATTTGCTTTCTGCCTATCGGCTCCAATCGGATTGTGTATGTTACCTATAATTGTTAAGATTAACATAAAAAACTAGTAGCTAAGTGCAGGTACTGCTTCATTTAGGGTAGGGAAAGGCTAGGCCTCTGGTAACCTCACCAACACGGCGAAACACAACGCTATGGTTGTTTCCTAGTTGTCTGTGAAGACTTGATATCACCCCTGTAGAGCCGACATATTTTAACGAAGCTTGGCTTGGGTTTATGACACAAGTACGGAATATTTGGCACATGAACATACAAATTCGCGTAGACAAGTTAGGTAAATCTAGAAAATAAAATTTATGGACTTCACGAAATGTTAAATCGATGAATGCAGGAATCGAACCCGCAATACGATACGCAACAACCCAACCGCTACCTAGCCACTGCGCCTACCGTGCATTACCTTTTAGCCTATATGCCAATTTTGGAAACGATCTGTATAGTCGGTTGAATATCCTAGCAGCTTTTGCAACCTGGATGGGCTGGCTCCACAGGGTACCTAAGTACCAGCATCTCACGAAATACGAGCCTGATATGGGGACGTTTCCTTTGGTAAATCACAGTTCCGGAGGCCTTTAAATAACCTTTAATTAAACAGTAGCCCTGCGATCAGTTAGTAGGCCACGCTGTTCGCAAACCACCAGGCTAGCTGCTAGCTTTGTGTGTAAGAACCAATAATAAGTACCTATTAAAGTATAGAGAAATTTCAATCTGTACCTACCGTCTGGTTCGACTCGGTCAAGACTTTAGCTCGGCAATCGTTCACACTTTAAAAAAAAAATCATGAGCAATCGTACCTACCATTTTTTTTTTCTAATTAGAAACGTTGCCCCACTTTAGGATTTTCTCCTATGTTGTGGGTGCGCTTACAAACATACAATGTCACATACCTACACATGACACCCAGATCCGAAACAATAATTTGTGGATCACACAAAGTGTTGTTCCGAGCGGGAATCGAACCCGCGACACGTTGCACGTCAGCCAGTTGCCCAGCCACCGCACCAACCGTGCAGTCAAAACCATTGATTATGTGATTCGCGTAATTACCTACCAACCTAAAAACCTATCTTGATTCATTTTTCGTGCCTGAACCTCTTTTCATACAAAAATTCATCGAAATAGTTGGGGACGCTTCAGAGATCCCCTGAATTTATATACATATACGTAATCGTATCAGTATCGTATCATATCGTAATCATCTAACTATAAATTGACACATAGTTGAGAATATCTACCTACCTATCCATCCATATATGTAAATATATAGGTACCTAATATAAAAACATACTAAAAATGGGAATAAAACAAAAGACGACCCCAGACGTTTCCAACGAATTAATATCGAAAAGGTCAGACGGCAAAAAATACCTATCCGATTCTAGTTTTATTAATCTGAAAATAACACTGGTGTAAATAGGCTAAAACTTGTCCCGCGGTATGCACGACACGAATAAAAGTGATGTACTCTTAACCTTTCCAGAGGTCACATCCATACTTTATATCGTGAAATTATAATTCAAGGTCGGTTTGTTTTTTACAACACTGGTAGGTAGTAGGATATGTTTAATGTCGGTGTTTTATTAACTACTAATTAAACAACAAGGCCTCGGTACCATCGGCTAGAGGTATACAAGTCTGGAGAAGCTGCCAAACATCAAACTGGTTGCTTATGTTGCGCGTAGGTACAATGTCCATAATTATTTTTAAGCACATTTGATAAAGTTAGGGTTTATGTTTTTACTTGAGCCGGTCAGTCATCCAATAAACCTCGAACTAAAAACACTTGTACCATTTTACTGCCCTTTCTTTCAAGGTCTTTCAACAATCACACATACTAACCTTCATTACACTAAAATAACTAACTAAGCTGGCAGCCGGAATAAAAAAGTAACAAAGTTTATAACCTCTTTGTCTAGAAGTCGAATATATAATACCTATATTATCTACCTATATCTTTTTTCATAGCAAAAGGATGCAACATGTATCCATCAGGAAACATTTTGATTAGAGTTCCGAAGTAATCTAGGAACTCTTATAGTTTCGCCATGTTTTTCTGTTTGTTCGTCCACTGATAATGTCAGTTACCGTAGAAAGCTGAAATTTGGCAGCAATATGTAAGTATATCAAATCACACCGATAAAGTGATAAAATAAAAACTGGAAAATAATATTCTATTAGGGTACCTCTTGGCCGGTTTTTCTATTAGAGGCAGGCATGCCATTTTCATTTTGTTTAGAAAAAATCTCGAGCAAATTCTCTTGAATACAATTCAATTAAAAAAAGTGCGAGTTTTTTTATAGGCGCTGTACCTGAAGTTTAAGGCGCCCGCTTCTTATGCGTTCGGTCCTGGCAAACAGCAATGTGATTTTTCCGAGTTTATTTAGTTTATAAGACTATTTTGGTTTCCTTCACAATATATTTCATGCTTCCACAAGAACCTATAATTTCGGACTGTTGTTATAATTTTAAAAGACATAGGTACCTAGAAGTTTGATATCACCAATCCATCTTGAGCAAGCCTGGTGATAAATATTCAAAACATTAGTGTGAGAAGGAGTCTTTGGCTCAGCATTGGGCCCAATAGGCACATAGGCTGAGAATGAAACGATGATCTTGATCTAGTAGCTAGTAACCTAAGTAAAAGGCAAAAACTATGTTTGGAATACAAACAGTCAGTCTAAATAATTCTATCTCTATAATAAAGGATATGGACTAACTAAAACACTTGAGGTTATACCTATAGATCTAGTATCTATTGTCTTCCTACACCTAACCTATGCCTTCGCCCACCTATAACTGGAAAACAATAAGCGTGCACAATATTACTAGACGACACTTTGATACCTCCATACGATTATAATAACTAGGTACTAACGGTCGCCCGCGGCTCCGCTCGCGTAGGTGTCGACTTCTTACACTTTTCAACATATTTTATAATTTTCTCTACGTACAAACCTTCTCTGGACTTCCACGAAAAATCAAGACAAAATTACCCAAATCGGTAAAGGCATTGTGGAGTTATACCATGACAACGAAAAGTGGAATTGATTTTTAGATATAGATTAGGTACCTATGTTATAAAACGTATAATCGCGCCTTTGTTAATATAAAATAGTCACGTTTGAACAATTCGAAATTGAGGACTGGTCCCATAAAACCGGTTGTTTTAAAAAGAAGTGCTAATAAAGCACCTAGCAGGTGCAAATTAATAAAATGTTAATAAATTATTAAAATCATAATCACGAGTCTACTAAGCGCGGATAATACGTACCTACCTACCGGATACGACGCTCGACGCGACAGAAGACAGGCACGGAGAATAGAGTTCTTTTGTTCCTGGTTCCTGGAATGCTATCTATTATACAAACTCTTTGTGAGACCCACAAGTTGTTGCTCAGGTGTGTGTAAAAGTGTATGTTTGTAAGCGCATCCGAGAGACAGCAGAAAATCCGAGTGTGGAGCGAACCTATAATCCTAGTACTGTACTTTACCTACCTAACGGTCTACCGTGCCAAAAAAAAATACTTTCACAACAAATCAAATACGTTTTTGGCGTAAACTGTTTGGTTCTCATAGTGAAAAAATATCTACTTGTAGATATAATTCACAAGCATGAAAAAAGTAAAACATTAATAAAAATGTTTTCTTCAAGTCAATAATTTGATGTGCTTCGGCTCGCTGACGACCACCAAAATCAAATCAAATCAAAATCATTTATTCCAAATAAACCATAAATAGGTACTTTTGAAACGTCAAAATAGAATAGTAGTCTGTCAGTCTGTTCGTCAGTGAAGCTAGGTGCTCGTTCCAAATTGTAGTTTCGAATGGAGAAGAACGAGCAAGAAACTCCATCGTTACTCTTTTAAAAAAAATATTTGTTTTACAATTCATCAATAATACATTTTTTATACATTACTGTACCCCCATGTAAGAACAATGCAGAGACAAGTTGTTAATAAAAAGGAACAAATTATGGTCTATTTAATCTATCATTAAAATTTTAATCCTTTGTTGTCTCGTACATGGCGCTCACATATGCGTACTCACAATCCAAAAGAATGCTTCTATATAAACTCATTCAAGGTTTCATTAATTTTGAGAATTTTAATAACTACTGACTACATATTTGAGAATTGTCCAGTGGAGCCGAACCAACATGCTGCCAGGCATTCTTATCCTCAATATAATCTGAAAGTTTGTAGTATGCCTGTCTACATAATTCGCGTTTAATATAAGTTTTAAATTTTCGTTCATTAAGATTTAATACACTTCTTGGAATTTTATTGTAACAATTTACACAGAACCCCATAAAGGATTTCTGTACTTTGGACAGACGGAATCGTGGCACAGCCAGCCTATCTTTGCCTCTAGTATTAAAATTGTGTCTATCGCTTCTTTTTTCAAATAATTGCAAATTTTTCCTTACGTACATAATATTTTCATATATAAACTGACAAGGTACCGTTAGGATATTTATCGTTTTAAATAGTTCTCTCAGAGATTCACGAGGGGACAAGTTATATATCGCTCGGATAGCCCGCTTTTGCAAAATAAATATTGAATCTACTTCCGCAGCTCGACCCCATAGCAAAATTCCGTACGACATAATGCTGTGAAAATAGCTAAAATAAACAAGCCTTGCTGTGTTCACGTCTGTGAGCTGTCTAATCGGTCTAACTGCAAAAACAGCTGAGCTCAGTCTTCCCGAAAGCGTCTTTATGTGGGAACCCCATTGAAGTTTATTGTCTAGCGTAATACCTAGGAACATAGTCTCGTTAACAAATTCTAACTTTTGCCCATTTAAAATTATGTCACAATCATTATTGTGTACGTTGGGCAAGCTAAATTTAATACATTTTGTTTTTTTCTCGTTAAGTGCTAAATTATTGACTGTAAACCAATTATGAACTCGATGAATGGAGCTGTTTACTTCGTCCAAATTATTAACACGTCGACCTATTCTAAAAATTAATGATGTATCATCTGCAAACAGCACCATTCTTGGCTCGGTTTTAAATAGAAATGGCAAGTCATTAACATAAACTAAGAAGAGAAACGGACCCAAAATTGAACCTTGCGGTACGCCAATTTTTATCTCAGAGCCCCGTGAGTTAGAACCACCTACATGAACTCTCAGCTGCCTATCCTCTAAATATGACTTTAGTAGACGGAGTGCAGTATGTCTAATCCCGTAATGATCTAATTTCAGCAAGAGTGTTTCATGATCAACGCAATCGAACGCCTTTGAGAGGTCGCAAAAGACACCAACAGCATCCTGTGCTTCCTCCCAAGCACCGAATACCTCCTTTATCAAAGTGACACCGGCGTCAGTTGTACAACGACCTTTAGTGAAACCGTATTGTTGGTGATGAAAGATGGCATGTTTATCAAAGTGATGAAGCATCCGAGATAGCATTAACTTTTCAAACACTTTGCTAAGAACCGGTAGAACAGACACAGGCCTATAGTTGTTTGGTTCCTTAGTGTCACCATTTTTGAATAATGGAATAACTTTACTGTATTTCATTAGGTTGGGGAAGACACCGTCATCTATACTTTTATTGAAAATCAAAGCCAGATACGGCGCTAAAGTTCGGATAAGTGATCCGCAGACTTTCACCGATAGTCCCCAAAGGTCCTCAGTTGATTTAATCTTGATTTCTTTAAAAACCTTTATTATCTCTAAAGGATTAGTATAATGAAAACTAAAATCGTCTTTGCATGATTTGACATTTTCTCTAAGCAAAGTTACCGATAGTCTAGCTGATGATTCTAAATGAGCAGTTGTTGAGACAGGTATATTAGCAAAAAATGCCTCAAACTCCTGAGCTACATCTTTACTTGACGAAATCTGTCCCCTTTCAGTGTTTAAACAAAATTCCGAATTTTTTAATCGTTTCCTACCTGTCTCATTCTGTATTATTTTCCACGTAGCCTTTATCTTGTCATCAGCTGATTTTATTTTATTACTGATGAAAAGTCGCTTTGCGGCTTTGCATACTATTCTAAATGTTTTTGAGTACAATTTTACATGTTGATGAAAAAGGGGGTCGCAATTGAATGGTTTCATGCCATAAAGTTCAAAAAGTTTATCTCTACTCTTACGAATACCTACGGTTGCCCAATCGCTAAACTGAAACTTAGAATAGATGTCTTTACATTTCATTGGCAAAATAGCTTGAAATTCCCTATTTAACACCGCAAAAAATTTTTCGTATAACCTGCTCGGATTAATGACATCAAAATTTTGTACACTTAATTTAGTTGCTATTGAATTATTGAGTTTCTCTAAATTTCTATTTGTAATATGTCTAAACTTTATTTGAATTTTTTGTAGAGGCAAATAAGTGCTGTAAGTTACCACAAGACCACTGTGGTCAGAAGGTAAACTGTTTAAAATTTTTTTTTCTAAATAGTAACTGTTACTAAAAATGTTATCAATACATGTGGCAGTGGATGGTGTTATCCTAGTCGGTTCCAGAAAAACATTTTTTAAATTAAATGATCCAAACAAGTTTAATAGTTCCATGCTGCCTGCATTGTTTTCCAATAAATTAATGTTAAAATCGCCACATACAAGAACTGATTTATGGCTAGAACATACCTTCTTCAAAACATCTTCCATTACTGAATCAAACACTGCAAGATTCTGATAATTAGGTGGTCTATAAACACAAACAACAACATGTTTATCCAGCTCAACACAGGACAACTCAATAGTGTGTTCAACTGACAGTGCTACAATATCTTTCCTTTCTTTGGACTTAATGCCATTTTTAACTAAAATTAAGGACCCACCATGTAACATATATTTTCTACTAAAATTACTTATTACAATATAATTATCAAAATTAAAAGATATTAATTGGTCCTCTTTCATCCAATGTTCCGCTAAACACACAATATCAAATTGTGTTTTCTCGAGGAACATTTCTAATTCAAATAATTTAGAGGAGCAGCCCTGAATATTAATATAAAATAAGATAAGATTGTGCTTCCCCTGAGCCTGTGTAACAACATTTGATATAAGTTTTTTTTTGCCAGAATATACCTTACTACTAACATTATATATGATGGTATGTTCTGTTGTCTTAAAAAAAACCAGTCAAATCCCGGATACAGTCATACAACCTACACATCAATGTTACTAGCTAACCAATGTTTACGTTTATTTAAATTCATGTCTACGATCGACTCGTTTAGAATAACCTACGCAATATTTGAACTTTGAACATAGCAGACTTCTACGAAATATATCCAGTAGGTTTGATCATCTGTGAATATGTGAACAATTTTTTGTAGATCCTATGACCCTGATTTTGAATCACTGTGACTTATGTCATGTTTAAAAACCGGACCGGACCTTCGGGTTACCCAGTACCCCCCTGATTGAATCGCAGTCGCTAGCACTAGGTCATTCTTAATAATAGATAGGTATTTTACGAATTACTATTTTTGTTCTGAGCAAACTGTATAATTTTCCATATTTATCCAGTATTGAATCTAAGATCCCCGGGGATGGGGATATAAGCGATATAATAAACCGCGGTCCAGGTTCGGAGCAGAAGGAGCAAGTGGTTTTTATCAGTATGATTTGAAATTCCTTCTCGCCTCATCCAGGAAAGGAGTAGTCATTTGATAGTTTCCGCACCTCAAAACAGACCCCTTGCTCAGATGTGACGCTAGTGACCAATTACATAATAAGGTCAGTCACTTAGTAACATCCCGAATAAGTTTGTTTAAGTTAGCAGTTAGGCAGACCACTTATTCATACTCTCGTCTAACGGATATGAAAGAAGATTGTAAGGGCATTACAAGTCTTAAACAATAATCATTCTATAAAAAACAGTTCATGTATGAAAAAAATCAAGTGACTGCGATAATTGACGCAAGCAAAAAGAAGTTATATAGGTAAAACAAATATATTCTCAATTTCCACACCTATCTTATTTGTCGTTACTAGACTTAAAGGTTTTGCGTCATGAACTTCATGATTGTGTAAAAAAAACATGTAATCATTGCAGTTGTTTTGAACATGTAAGAGCGCCTCACCTATTTTACTTTGTTTCGACAACTGTCCTTGTAGACAGCGGGTAAGTAGTTAAGTACCATTAGCTCCTTTTATATTAAAAAAAAAACGTTTTCCATTGGTGATCGCATCAGGCGTGAATACCAATTTCGGTATGTTTTTACTATTCTCAGAAGATCGGAATAGGTTCTTACCATGCTACGTAGAGAGCCTTGTGTACTACTCATCTTAGGGTTAATGTTTACATATTTAAGTTTATCATCCATTCTTCTTTGGCGGACTATAAGGAGCTTTAAATGTCAATGAAAAATATACAATGGACACTGATCTACAAATCGGCAATGGACACAAAAGAAATTTCTCGACAACGCCTTTTCTAGAAATGTTTGAAGCGTGTGTATTTTATGCGCTTACGTAAAAACAGAACGTCAAGGACAGAAGCTTATGTATCGACAAAACCAGATTCCATCCTTTAAAATTTTCTAAAATTATATTGTTCCATTATTAATAAATGATATTCAATAAGTCAGAATCGCTGACTTAACTTGGTCACAATTTTTTTTCGAATTTTTTGACCACGTGACCTTCAGAACCGACCTCTCACGTAGGTACAGTTTAAACCCGTTCACACCAAAACTAAGAGAACTAGTCAAAAACACGTGTAAAAAATTAAAATAAAACACATATGTTTTTATAAAAATGTTTAATAAATTAGAAAAAAATAGTGGTAGAACAGTAAAATTACCAAGTCAATCTCATTACATGATCAGTTTTTCTTTTTGATGACTTTATGAATCCGAGGAATTGTAGTTCAGCTACAGCGCGAGTAAAACGTAACCTGGAACAATATAATAATAAATATAACATAACATAAATGTCATCACACTATTTCATGAAGAGGAAGACCGAGGTGGGTAGGTAGTAGTTGGGCAAGCGCAATACGGTGCCGCGTCTGTAAGAGTCTGACATTTCCTCTCGCCTCAGATTGGGTGATAGAAGAAACTTGATAAATTTTCCCCTTAAAAAAATCAAAAAGGCATCTTTTTTGCAGATAGGTCATAAATTATATAGTATTATATTATACAACCGTGCAGGAAATTATTAATTTTAATCAATCTGATGACTGCACGGTCTGTGCGGTGGGTTCAATTCCCGCATTTGTGTTATCCACAAATTGTTGTTTCGGGTCTGGATGTAATGTGTGTGTGAAATTGTATGTTTGTAACTGCAACCACGAGACAGGAGCCAACCGAGTGGGGCAAAGTTTAATTTTAAAAAATCAGGCTTGCAGTTGGGACAACTTTTATATGCCTGTATCGTATTCCTATCAAGGAAACAATACAAATGTCGTAGGTACTTGTGACCCCTTGGACAAAAGTTTCACTTAAGGCCAAGCTAAAAACAAATGAAAAACAACACAATAAACATAAAGGTCAAAACATATACTTCTATGTAATAAAAGCAGTTTTGTCTAGCATTATAATGTATTTATAAACGTATTTAAAATGTCCAACGATAAAATGATTATGCAAATAAATGTATGGTAATCTGGCAAAATATAGACTGATTCTTTTAGTATAAAAAAACAGTCTATTTGTGACATCTTCAACTTGAATGGCATGGATACAAGTAGCACATACTAATATCGTGATTATAAAGGTATGTTAGTGGTCAAGCTACAAATATTATTCTTTTAATTTACATATTTTACGTACATGATGTAAGCAACGTAGATCGACAAATTTCCTTAAATTAATTAAAGATTTGATAAAGGTCACGGGGGTGCTGACTAAAGTCAAATGGCCGATTTAGAAGACAATAAGGCTGAAAATCAGAACCGTAGACTCGAGGCTTATTAGCAAACAGTATTAACTGGTAAAAGCTAAATGCAGTCACTTTAAGCTGCGGTAACATTAATTATGACTGAACGGTTGACGCGGCGCAAACGGCCTCACAGAAAACCGACGTGAAACAACCACAGCGTTTAGTTTTGCCATATGAGTGGGTAACCGAAGGCCCAATCCTTCTCTTACCCCAATCCCAAAATCTCCAAATCCCTAATCCCCAAAAGGTTGGCAACTCACTCGTCACTCCTCCGACATTGCGGATGTCCACTAGCGGCGCTGATTGCCATCGGCAAGTCCGTCTAATCGTTTGCCATTCTTCTCAGCTCAGTATTAATGAGCCTACTGCTTACATGATCACATTAGATCGATTTCTCTTCATTAACGTTTTCAGAAAAAAACCCATACAATACCATTTACTATTTTGGGAACCATCAGGACTTTTTTTTATGTAATTGGTCGGCAAACGAGCATACGGATTACCTGAAGGTAAGCAATCAGCGCCGCCCATGGACACCCGCAACGGAGGAGTTACGAGTGCGTTGCCGACCTTTTAGGGATTAGGGATTTAGAGATTTAGGGATTGAGGAGGGATTGGGGGCGGGGAAGGATTGGGCCTCCGGTAACCTCACTCACACGGCGAAACACAACGCTGTGGTTGTTTCACGCCGGTCTTCTGTGAGCCCGTGGTATCACTTTGATCTGTATTATCTTGACTGAATAGTCACTGTTATCAGAACTCTGAAGACGATGACTTGTGTTTTGAATTATTTCTTTCAGCGCTCCCTTTGGCGTATTTTTTTGCGTATCCTTTGTTTAATTATTTTGTTTCTTTTGCGTTTTTAGGCACTTTCTCTTTTTTTTAAAAAAAAAGCCTTTGCCCCACATTAGGATTTTCTCCTGTGTCGTGGGTGCGGTTACAAAATAACAATTTCACATACTAATGACACCCAGACCCGGAACAACAATTTGTGGATCACACAAAGAGTTGTTCCGTGCGGGTATCGAACCCGTGACACGTTGCACAGCAGCCAGTTGCCTAGCCACCGCACCAACCGTGCAGTCTACCGTCACTTTTTATTCATTTTTTTGAGTTTGGCATTTTTTGTTGGCGCTCTCATAGGCGGATTCATTGTAAAATTCTCTTGTATCGACGTTTCTAAATCTCGTTTATAAGGTTAAGATGTCAAAATTGTTGGCTTGGTGCCTTTTCTTGCCGCTGTTACTGTCAAATTTTGTTAAACGCAGTATAGGCTGCAACATTTTTCTCGACAAATATGATCTAATGTTGTAGGGGGTTCTGCTAATAAATCATCCATAGTCGACGTTGGCATTCCTGATTGCTCGTTTGCTTGATGATATTCATCAAGGATTTGGTGTAATATTTAGTTCACAGGTTGAGGAGGTTCCGGAGTCAAAACAACTCTTGGCTCAGGTAAGCCGTTATCGGGTTATCAGGAACTATATGAATTGGCGTCATTATACAGAGCCCGTCATTAGAAGGCCCCTCTACTTCTGGAAGGTCTTCGTCAATAAAATCATGATCTTCAAAAACGTGTCTATTAACAGGATATATTCCAGTTGTACGTCAATTACGACTTTTGCCGCCCAAGATCGGGCGAAAGGGAGTGTCGGACTCTTACTGACTACCCCCCGTTCCTTCTTTGGCTCTGAGCCGAGGCCGCGGGGCCTCATTGCGCTTACCCTGCAACCTCGGCTGAACATCGGCCCTAAAGGGCCTCGTATGTGGTGGTCTATTGGCTCTTAGAGGCGCGCGCAACACGCCGTACGCTGGGGTCTGGTTCTGGTCAGGCGACGACCTACCCCTACTCGCCGCAACCGCACGCGCTTACGGTGACCGGAGATCATATCACGGCCTATTCTGCACGCTGAGCTCGAATGTAGGGTAGACTAAATAATTCCAAATGTGGTACTGCTCTATGTTGTATTCTTAGTAATTTGCAAGTATCGTCAGTCAAATACTTTTTTTATCGACCCATGTTTTTGTGAAAGGTTTATATAGCTCGACGCGTACGGTATTTGTTGGGGTCAACATTACAAATAAACTTTTCAGTACCTTCCTTTTACCATATGATATTTGGTACATACCTTTAATGCCGATGACAATACAACATAGTAATATTAATAACATAGTAAATCTAAGATAGCCGCCGGTACAAAATGGCGGATTACATATTCTTCCTCAAACCCCTCAATATGGGTATCAAATACAAGGGACCACACAAGTAGAACATTGTGATTATGTAATTTAAATACTATCTCCAACAAGCATTTTTTTACTCATACAGGCATTGCGTTTGTACTAAATCAATATGAATCTGATGTAACTCACTGTATGGCAGGATCGTTGTGTCGTTGCTCGTCGTCATCATCAGGTCTGAGTACTGCAGCGAAAGCTTGCAGCCAGTCGTATAGATTGATGTGCTTGCCACACTCGCGGTGTAATTTGTACGCAAGGCATACATCCGGTAATGTATCTATTACACTGTCTGATGATGGCAATTGGCAGCAGGAACACTGAGGAATAAACAAACATTTAGTTATTATGGAACAATCATTGATGACGAGTTTATAGACGATAACAACATTTCAATTTTTCTGCCTTTTATCTATATTATAGTTTAAGAAGCTGAAGAGTTTGTTTGTTTGAACGCGTTAATCTCCGGAACTACTGGTTCCCTAATTCAGAATATAGGGTTGGAGATGGGGGGAAGGATTGGGCCTCCGGTCATTCACAGATGAACAGGTGAACCAATAAAAAGTGTAAGGGCGTGGTGTCACTTCGGTCTGTCTAAATGGACCATTCGTGCCGAAGCATGACTCTTCCTTCTTTGTTCACTTGAACTTGTAACGGATACAACATTCAGATAACACAACAAAATTATTTTTGAAAATATAATTTTTACTAATTACTTTGTTTTGATATGAACAACATTCAGTAAGATGAACTCCCATTTTTATTAGATAAATACAAATGTTTCAAAATCAAAATAAATGCAAGTTGTAAAAGAGACAATTTAAAACATTCCTTATGAGACGAGTCCAACAACGGACATCTTTCGACTGATGTCAATGAGACTGACCTGTAAGTAATGTACGGGGTTGCTGAGCGCCGTATGGACGGCGGCTCGAGGCGCACCCACTATATTCTTCCGTACAGCTGCCACGTCACTGAAGGCCAGTACTTCATGGAATGCTTGCCCCTGCATCGGCAGCAGCCCTTTACTAAACATCTCCTCCAAGTAACTCACGAACCTACTCCGAACCATCTCAAATTCCGACTGGACACGGTCCACCCTTGTTGCTTTTAACAATTTCTGAAATGAAAATACAAGTACTTTTCTACAGTTGCTATATGGATATTATAAAAAATCCAAGGTTTTCTTGTAAGTGGCCCTTATTTGCGATAAAACGTTATAATTGCGTTAACGTTGCGATAAACGTTATTTCTATATATTAATCGTAATGAACCATCACCATATTAATAAACAAAACGTTGTTTCCGACATCACTCAATTTGGGACTTCTAGAGCAACGACGCCGACTTAGAATCCCTCATAGTATGTCATCACGTCTTGGAGGCAAAGGTGCACATAATAGCATACAATGCCACATGTTACGTACATCTAATATTCTTTATGGTACGAGACTACACGGGATGGGCTCGATGTATGAGCACGATATACCGAGCACAAATCGACACATAGCGCTATCACTGAGAAATTAAAAAAAATCCAAAATAATACTTTGCTATCGAACCCGGCGCCCCTTACTCGGTAATCACACTTGAGATTATTGCACCAGCAAGGCAATCTGAGGGTTCTCGTTTAGAAGTTTAAAACGTCCTATGACCTATACCATAAAAAACCAATATCGTAATCAATCGTTTAACTAAAGGTTACTTATTAGAGATTATTGGAGCACTATTTCATTTTACTATTAATTCTAACAAGAAACTTTTTAAAGACATATTTTAAAACATATTCAACTATCAATTAAAGTATTGCCATTTACTTAATCTCAGATACGATTTTTTGCCTAATTTTCCTACTCGTTTCGTGTATGCAAGAAGATTTTTTTGTAGCTACACTCCCTGCAAAAAAACATTTGCAATTATATGGGTAGCTAGCTCTATCTAAATACTGCCACCGACAGCAACAATTTAAAGTTGCCGCACACTTTGAATATCTCCTGTGTGATGCGTTCAATTCTGATACTTTAGTTGTCACACCGTACCGAAGTACCAAGATGACGTCTTCAAAGCCAATCGTCAATTCAATGTGACCGTGTTGTACATAGGGATAGACAGCGACATATGAAGTGATGATAATTTACGACAAGTAATCAACTGTATGAAACCTTAAGTAAGGTAAGACAAAAGTCATCTAAACTGAAAAGTGTTTGTTTGAACGCGCTAATCACCGGAACTACTGGTGCGAATCGAACTATATTGTGTTGGATAGTCCCTTTAACGAAGAAGGCTATAATGGCAACCGGGCAGATAATAGCAAAGCGGAAGGAGCTATTTCATTATAAAAAGCATAGAACTCACCTCTTTCAACTTATATCTATTACCAGGAACATTTTCATCTGCATTTTCAGAGTCCGACACTGCACTTGTGGTAACAGTAGTTTCTGTGTTAGCATGTTCTATTTGCCTTAGGAACGTTAATAAATGTACTCTCAAAGATTTGACGAAATTTTCGCCAAGATCATCGCTCAACGTGATCTTATTAAGATTGTTCTTCGAAGGGGTAGAACGCAAAGGTTTGACTGGCGACGCATCTTGTAAATACGTGTTGACAATTTTCAAAGCACTTTTAATACTTTCAACCAACTTGATTTGTGATTGAAACTTTAATAGCTGCATGCAGTCTTTAAACGCTGTTGTGCTCGTTACATTTTCTGAGGCGCATTTCGTGTATATCTCACGGACCTAAAAAGAGATAAAAAAGTAATTTTAATCAAACAATTTTGCTTCTTTTCTTCTAAAATATGCTTTTACAACAATGTCAAGACTAAACTTTTATTTATTGAAATCCTTTACGTTTTTTTTAATGGGTCCATTGGGTCGATATGGACTCATCAGAATAACTAAACTACCAAATCAATCGCTATAGAAGTTATATGTATATACATTAACCTATATGTTAAATATTGGACTGGTTCATCTGACAAAAATACACCTACATTGGCACTGTACAATTTTATTTACTTTAATTATATTGAACCTAAGCAAGGTCGACGTAAAAATATAGCCGAACGCTCCATATTACCTGATGTATGTCTACAAATAGTTTAATGTGATACTTACAGATTTTCCCAGCATATTCTTAGGCAAATCCTTTACGAACACGCATAACAGTCTCAAACACATATAGAAACTATATAAATAATCGTGCAATCTATTCATCTCCTTGTAAAGAGCTTCTTTAAAGAAATCATCATCGTTGAACAGACTGATCTTGGTCCTACAATCCTGTTTTTCTAAGAATGGTCTGAAAGACATCAGTTGTCGAATACTTTCGAGGTCTTCCGCACTGAGCTGCATTATGACATCTTCTAGTTTGTCTCTGTCGCAACATAATGATTTTATGTTATCTCCATAGTAATGTTCCATCATGCAGTACTGAAAGCAGATAAATATTAAAAAAGAAATTAATTTTCAATGAAAGGTGAGCTTGTGTAAAGGTTGTGACATAATTATATTGCGAAACAAAATGCTTAGCAGTATGAAGGCCGCAGTTAGACCACCAAAAATTTTATCGTGTCTGCATTCACCATGCTCAATTCTCTCCTGGTGTCAGCGCCAGATTGTGATTTGTTTGCAATGAGATGGATAGATCTGTGTCGTGAATGTCTTAGATATTGTGAGAGGATGGATGATAGGTAGGTAAACTATAATGTTTTTCTTTTAGTTTAAGATTACTATGATCACCAATCTTGTTATTCAGTTGTATTAAGTACTTTTATGTTGGTTTTTAAATTTGTATTGTTTTTCTTGTATTTAATCCTAATTAGATTTTTAAGTACCTAGATAATAGTATTTATATAAAATTAACAATATAACTTAATGGCGCAAGCTATAATGTTGTATATGTAAATTTTCTTAATTTTCTTTTCTTAATAAATTCAAATCTATACATTGGAGTGCACCCATGAACAGACTAACAGACTATTATTCTTTTTGGACGTTTCTAAAATACCTTTTTATAGTTTAGTTGGAATTATTATTAATGATTTTGATTTTGACTTTGACTTTGACAGCAGGACCCAAATGGAGACGAGTTAGCAAAAACCGAAAATAATGGAAGTCACTGGAAGCCAAGAGGTACACTAACTTTAGCTAAGCATATGACGATTAGGGGAAGGAAACGACTAAGGAAATTAATACTCGTTTACAATAAGGGGCTTGATAAAAAAATATAGATAAAAAAGAAATCTATTTACATATAATGACACATTAACACAAGATTGTTATACTAACCTCAGCCCTAAGGAATGCATGAAAACATACGAAAAATAATAAAAGTTTAGTATATATTTAAGTTTAAAACCAATACATACCTTTTATACTTACTTACATACAAAATATAATATGTACCTTTATACTTTGAATGAGGCCAGTTACAGAAAAATCGTAGAAGAGAAACACATCGGTGAGCAGTTCGAACGCCTTGCCTGATAAATGAAAAGGACTTGTATGTGTTAAGAAAATATCTTCTAGCACCTGAAAATGGAAAAAGAAAAAAGTTTAGGTAGGACGACAAACGGTCAGACGGATTACGTGATGGTAAGCAATCGGCGCCGCTACACAAAAGGAGATGCGAGTGTGTTGCCGGGCTTTAAGGGATAACGGATTTGGATATTTTAAGATGTCATTAGGGAAGGGATGGGGGAGGAATTGGGCCTCTGGTAATCTCACTAACACAGCGATACACAACAGTGTGGTTGTTTTACGCCAGTTTTCTGTGAGGCCGCCGAACATGCAATTTCACATACACATCACACCTAAACTAGGAACAACAATTTGTGGATCGCACAAAGAGTTGGTCTGTGCGGGAATCGAAAAGGAAGGTATAGAAGTACACGTAATTCAGATTCTTAAATTTTATTACACAGATTGTTGCAGGACAAGCGACTAAAATCGTATAGAAAAAAGATAGCCATCATTTATTGAAAACAAAAACTAATACAGCTTTGACAAAAATGTGGGGTCACATAAACATCATATTATGTTAGTTGCCTTATTCCCTCAGGGCACAAAACATATTTCATTGCAGAGAGAAAAACTGGCAGAGTGTTGCAGAGTACTCTTAAACCTTAATAATATTTTATAGTACTTGCATGCTGAATGTGTTATTTGACTATATAAATTTAAACCATTAAAACCATTTATTTAGCTACACATGCATAAGTTGAAAACATACAGATAAAACATATAATTATACTTTCATTGGGTTGACCCAGAGATTAAAGAACCACCTTCCAAGTAAAAGGGTGTTGGTTCAAAACCTGATAAGGACCAGTGTGACCGCTGTAAGTTCTTAATTTAAGCTTGAGAACACTCTCCAATGAGGCAGTCACTATTCAATCATCATCACATTACCCACTAAAGCCTGTAATATTTAATAAAATAATTAAAAAAAACTTACTTGATTCATATAAACAGGTGATGCATGTGAGTGGAAAACTTTGATCAAGAGTTTAGACGATACATGGTAGGGGAATGACTTGTGTAGCGCCGACACTGATGTCGCCACCCCGAAAATGAATACTATCGGCATTGTTGATACATAGGAACTGTAAATATTTGAATATCATATTAATATATTGTACGCTTAATAGAAAAGAGGCTTAACTCAAAAAGAAGGTAATATTTTAGTCTTAAAAATTATGTTTCAACAATAAGGTTCAATATTGAAATACCCTATTTTATGAACTAGTTCTGTTTTCTATTAAATTATAAGGATACTATGAGTAAGTTCTGAATTCGAATTTCTCTTGTAAATAACGCGTATCATTTTAACAATGTTTAACATCAAAAAATAGACAATAATAAACTGTGTACCAATAAAGCTTTTTGATGCCATTTTAACTCATTTAATTAAAATCGCCTTATGTTGAATGAATAAAAATCCTAAATAAATTCTTAATTACTTAATTGTTTATCAAAATGACATGTTTGACTTTTGTGTTTTTTTATCATCTTCTTACCTGACAATCATCACAAAGTCTTGCAAAACATTACAGTTGAAGCTCTCAAAATCAGGGATTATAATAACCAGTGTTTTCCTGGTTTGCAGTGATTTCTTCTTTGTTGGTGATGACATACATTTAGTGTTGTACCAGTTGTTTAAGGCTTTCATTGTACATTGATTCTTTCTTAACTTCTTTGTTTGAGTGGTGACACCTTCTTCGTCATCATTATCCTGGAAGTATAATAATGCACTGGTGTTATACATAAAAATAGATACTGGATTAGAAGAGTCATGATAGGACCTCACCATTTTTAAGCAAGTGCAAAATTTGTTTATTTCCAATTTCAAATTCTTACAGTAGTACCATTAAAAATATATGATACAAGATTCTTACCAAAACTTGATCTCCGTGTATAAGCTGCCAAACAGCATTCTCTACAAGATGTTTCACACTAGGTGCATCTTGTGAATTGACTAGTGCCACATGTGGAGTTACTTCATGTCTGAAACATTGCAAATATATAACTTACAGAAAACACATTAATGTTTAAGTATTAAGACCATAAAACATACAGGACAAATATACAATAAAAAGTAAGAATATAAAAACTGGGTCAGACTCACTCACAAAGGGTTCTATACTATTGTAGTATAAATTGTGATTTAATTTAGGATCTTTCTTTAAGTATTTAGAATAATAACTTTAAATCTTTACCTTAAATTAGAACAGTGTACAATTTTATTGGTAGGATCGCCATTAATTAAATAACACCGGAAAATAATACTAGTTTGTTTAATAACACAGCAACACATTATCGTCACACAATAGACAACATGTGAAACATCTTCCATCAAATGAGAATAGACACTCACTACTCTTGAATTATTTCAATCTTTATTAATTCACCTCTATATTAAATACCTTGACAAACTATACAATACTGTACATATACGTATCAACATAAATTAATGTAAAATTAAAATGCATCACATAAAGTAGACATTTGTTTGTAAATATGAGAAAAAAATAGTATTACCTGATAATATCAATGAGTGATGTGAATTGTGAAACATGATCTGGCTGATTGACTCCAGTCAACAGGGTAGCGCTAGGAATAATTCCTTCCAAAGTTGATGATTCACTGATGCCATGATTCTTGATATAATTCACTATATCGTTCAGCAAAAAACTATGTGTCCTGTGATGTAGTTCCTGTAAAATGTATAGCACCATAACGACAACTGATTTCTTCATAACATGACTGGTTACATTGAAGTTGGTAATATTTATTTCTTGTTACAACTTTCTCTGTGTTTGGAAACAGATTTATTTTATTTCATCAAACCCCAAGCATATGAGGCATGTGTGCTTATATTGTGTCTCGAATCACCATGAATGAAAGGTCAACTACATTTTATTTAAAAAAAAACAGTTTTAGAAATCTAATAAGCTTATGCTAAGCTTTGTTGTCCCAAACTATGCCTGTACCAAATTCCCAAATCTTTTCCACTCACAAACATTCCCCATTTGTAATGCTTTAGTAGTAACAGTATTTATTTAAATGTTAAGTGTTGACACTCTTCTTTCTTATTACCTGTAATTCATTTTCAATATAATACCAGTTCTGTTTGTATGTATCATACCAAGGTTCATTCTTGAATATTTTTTCAAACAATGCTTGATTGCTTTTCTTCTTACTAGTTTTCCCTTTTTTAAATCCATTTGTGAATAGGAAAACACCCTGGAAACAGTAAAAACATAATGTTAGATCAACATCAGCCAAGTTAAACCTAATAAGTTTTAAAATTAAATTGTACACTAAAATGTATTGTAGAGCTGAAGTGTATTTGCTAGTTAGGGTCTAGAAACTACTGGTTTGAATTTTTTTTTTTTTTGAGTTGGCTACATCATTAGTGATGCAGGGCTGTAGGCAGTAGGCTGTATGCTAAAACCAGTGTGCGCCATGCAACAAGTGGGACAGCCGGCAAAGCTAGTTAAAAATAAATAAATAAGGTATTAATTTCCCAACAACAGGCTTTCTCTATTAAATTAATTATATCGAACTAATGAAATCTGATAATTTGGATTTCCAAGAGAACCACAAATACAACAAGTACAAATGCTCTTTTTTCGATTCTCAAACATTGACATACTTAACAATACCTATTGAATTGAATTGTTAGTAATGCATTAAGCAGTATTGGTTACTTTCAGGTTTTGTAGGATGTTTGAGAATCTGGTCTATAAATAAACTTGTTTGTATCCATAAAAACCACTTATAAAACAAAACTAGAATTGAATGCCATTATTTGAATGTACTAGCTATCAGTGTTTACAAAGGCGTCTTACAACAATATGTTCCATTTTGTCTTAATATTTTATTCACTTACTTTTGCTTGAAATTATTTTAATAAATCGGGATCTAAATAACACAACATTCGCAAAATAAATGTCTATTTACCTTTGAAACCGATACGGTAGATTCCATTTCTTAATTTCTTCAATAACACGCGCGAAAATTGTTTTGCGATTGACGTTTCGACGGTTTGTTTGACAAGAGACGGACAAGAGGAAACAGTCAGTGTCATTGACATCTATGACAATGACATTGACGTCAATAAAGTTTTTTTTTTGAGTTTATGGCCTGGATACAAGTTCTTTAAGCCATCAATAAAGAGTTGATAGTACCTATGTGCTGCCATTACAAAAAAATAAATGACCGCATAGACAACTTTACACAATCGATAACTTCATTGGTATTTGTACAGCACTAGTCAGTTCAAGTAGGTACAAATGTACAAATGCGCACAAAATTCTATTAATGTTAAAAACGCGAAAGTTTTAAAGTATGAATGAATGAGGAATAGACGAATGGGTGTTCCTTACTCTCTGATACTCAATACTCAATACTCAATATATTTATTTAGCAACTTACAACCCGTTGGTAAGCAGTAGACTCCACCCGTAGTCATTTGCTACGCCAAACGAATTAGGTACAACCGCGTTTGCTGGACGTAGATATTGAGCATGTGGTAGCCTCAAACGCTTCCTATTCATAACTATCTTTCGAGAGGAAGTGTCAGACTCTAACTGATTAGACACCACCCCGATTTTTCTCCTGCACGGAGCTAGGGACGTAACACATTATTGCGCTTGCAACCAAAGTTGCTAAGAACAAATCCAACTTAATTTTATCAAGAGGCAATTTAATATTTCACGTGAATCAAGAGCAAGTTAATATGTGTACTGTAAATGCATAAAGATTAATATCTAACCAAGCCGTGCATGTATAGCCAATAATACGGTAGTTCCAACCAACCAAATTCAATACTTTTATCCAAATGTCAAAAACGATGTAGGTATGAAACTTCGAATTATGAGTTGTTAAATAGCATATTAAATCAAATAGAAATAAAATAGAATATTTGCGTCAAATAGCCTCAGAATACAGAACAAACTCTGTATTCTGAGCAAATAGCTTACCTTTTTTTAATTTAGCTAAAAATTATCAAATATTTAGTGTAGGTAACGACATTTCGATAAAGTAAATCTATATCAAAAAGTATATCTGTTTTTGAATAGTTTATTGTATTCAAACGTCGAATTAATTTATTTATATTAACCTAGAAATCTATCCAATTGTTAGTTGGAACATGTCCATAAAATGTACATTTTTTATTTAACTTTATATTGTGGTATTGTTATAAAAAATCAAAATACACTTCGTAACAGAAACATGATTTATTTTCAACACCGCAAAAGCTTTTTTCTTGCGCTTTACACAATGCGATCTGCTAAATTATACATTCATCATTTATTGACAAACAAAGCAACAAATGTAGGTAAGTACTAGGTATTTCATTCTTAAAATAACGGTAGTCGAAGGTTCGTCGATTACAAGGGACGGTTCTTTATTATCAAAAATTGGTAAACGCATAGGTTGTACCTAACTTTAATAAATTTTTATTACGAATGAATTGCCTTACTAGAAGAATACTACATAATTAAACAAAAAAAGGTAAAAGGAAAAGAGTGTAACATAGTTTTTACTAGGTTTTTTTTTTTTTTTGTGAGGGGAAAATCATCAAATGACTTCTCCCGCCCAGGGCCGGGCAGGAGGGAGTGTCAGACTCTTACTGACTAAAAACCCCCCTGTTCCTTCTCCTGCTCTGTGCCGAGGTCGCGGTACCTCATTGCGCTTACCCCGCAACCCCGGCTGAACATCAGCCCTTTAGGGCCCCGTCTGTGGTGGTCTATTGGCTCTTTGAGGCGCGCGCGGAACGCTACGCGCCGTACGCTCGGGCCTGGTTCTGGTCGGGCGGCGAGCTGCCCTTACTCGCCGACCGCAGGCCCGTACTTACGGTGGCCGGAGATTGTCCCTCGATCCCCGACGCCCGTAGTGTCGCCAGTTGCGGCTGCTGGGGCGTGAGGAGGAGGATTGCTCCCTCACGCGGGCCGCCTCTCTCTTTGCGAGCATGACTGCTTCACAAAAGGAGGAGACGGCGTCCCAGTTCCTCTCACTCCGCACCATGGCCTCGACTAAGGCCGGGCGCGAGAGGTCGCCGCCGCCGATCACTTCCCTGAGGATACGGCGGTGCTCAGCCCAGGCAGGGCATACCGCTACCGTATGCTCCACCGTATCCTCTAGGTGGTCCTCACAATGACGACACTCGGGCGTTTCCTCCCGCTGAATCCGAAACAGAGTTTTTACTAGGTCAGGACCTTCATTGAAGCAATTCAATTAAAATGGGATGGAAGTGTCAGTGGAAATCTATGTAACAAGGTGCAAAAATACTTATGATAAATTGGAACTATTACATTACGCCTTATCCACTCTAATGGATTCCAAACTTATTTAAGTAATACATTATTAAATCTACTTGTATATACAAATCTCTCAAATGGGAACAACACAATACACCTATGTATAATAATATGATAGTATTTAGATAAAGTATTCTCTTTAATTTCAACCGTAATAATCGTAAAATACAAAAATATATTTTAGAGGGTTTCGAAATCCATCCGTATTATTTGCAACTATCTTATGAAATACATGGTCACTGCGCTGGTGAGCGTGGTGGGAGCGCGGGCTCATCACACGGCGATTGACGTTCTTCTTCAGCGCTAAACTTGTATTCTCGTTCGCTTTGTGGGTGCTCCTGTCCGGGGGGCGTGGCACGGCCTTCACCGGCAGCGGCGGCTTCGAGAGAAGGCCCAGCAGGCCCAAAAGGCATGCCCTCGCCACCGTATGCCACTTCTCCACTCCCGACATATTCAGATGGCTGGTAACCGTAGCTGTTCAAACTGAAAAATACAAAGTTATGATTAAATTAACTGACATGGAAATAGGAATGCACTTTGTTATGGGGTGTCATATATGTAACTCGATGACTGTACCTACCTATTAGGCCAATAAGATATATCTTCAATCGCATGATGTGCGTACGGTGCATAGGCATGCTGGTAGTACGGCGAATGGTGCTGCGCTGGAGCTTCATACTGGAGGGGATAGAGCGGTGCCGGAGCTGATGTTGGGGCGGATGTACTTGTAGGGGGTGCCGGCGCATACTCCAAAGGAGCTGGGTATGCGTGGGGCGGGGTGCGGTACGGAGCTGGGGAGGTATTTGGTTGTGGAGAACTGCTGCCCTGTGTGGAGTTCCAGTACCCACTGCTACTGACCCATGTGTAACTGCCGCTACCATTTGTCGCCGTTGTCGTACGTTCTGAATTGCTGTACGAGGCTGTTGAGTAAAAAATATATTTAAATACTAAATAATAACCAAAAATTAGGTAAAACTTCATCTCAAAAATCTCTCTTTATATTATCAGAAACATAAAAACTTTACTTACAAGGCGGTGACAACGTTCTGGGCCGTGAGGGTGGTCGCGGAGGATAAGGCGCTGGTCTTCTAGAGGCGGCGTTGCTGCTCCCATATAATGACTGAGAAGTCACAAACCATCCACCGACTGGAAAATAAATATGAGTTGTTTTTAACATTTTTGATAAAATTTTCCTAGGGCGGATTCATGCTATTGGTATTAACTATTAAAGAAAAGTCAGGTTGCAAGAAATCGTAGTCGCTGCGCCACTTTGTCCCGGTGGGGCTTAAAAGACATAATTTCAAGATAACATTCTACTCAACGCTTACAAACATAAAATCTAAGTAGATTAATTATTATTGTACCAAAGATACTCACATTGAGGATATTGATGTGGCGAAGAACTTTGTTGAGGATAATGTGTACCCACGAAATCTCTTTGATAATAACCCTCCGGTCTTTCCTTAGCATCTAAGAAGGCTTTCGCAAATGGATTGTATTTTATCTTCAACGAAGTCACCTCTTCGTTTTGGTAAGCGGTGACTGCTATAAACTGTGTCTCCGGGAATGGGTAGGTCATTATTCGACGGAGGTCGGTACCGACTTTTACTAGATGCACTCTGGGCTCGTACTTATGCAAACTATTTAACATTATCTGTAACAAAAATAAATAAAAATAAAAAAAACACTCGCTCACGATTGGATTTGCGTACAGTACAAAAAGAAAACGGAACGAAGCCACGCGTCAAAGATATAATGTTGTAATTGATATGCAATTAGACATCTTCATGAGTGGCATTAACATAGCGACTACAGGGGGCATCTGCTTATATTTAAGATATGTGTAATGTAAACATAGCGCAGAGACAATAATTATTACAAATGATAGTGCGTACAGACACCCGCTAAACAGTTGGTAAAGCTACAGATTTCACACCGAGCCGTCAACATATGGATCTAGATGTATCAGATGTTTGCTTTCATATTCATTCGCACCACATACAACCGTGAGAACTCGCTTCTCCGAACTGACGATAGCGGTAGCCACGAAACTGTAGCACACTCACACCTTGCAGCGAGAGCTTTCTGTTATAAAATTAGTATTCTGACAATACCGTGAACTAATTATTATGCTCGGTCAGGCACATAATCTAGCGTAGATCCCGCTATAAATATTGAATCCGTAATTTGTGTTTATCCTGGTCGAAACTCATTTATGCTTATGAGAAACAATGTAGTTAAACGCTCGTAGTAAACACTACAAAGTATCTCGTAAACAGACGTCTGATTCGCAAACGTACCTTTATTTATGCATTCAGTGTTATTGAGCTATTAAATGTACAAAGATATAACCAAGGTATCTATGTATGTAAGTATTCATCGTGAATAGTTGTATTCATTATTAAAAAATCTTAGCTCCTTCACCATGCCAGTCTGGCATTTCATCAGTTTCAAAGAAAACTTTCTTATGTTTGTGCAATAAGACTACTTATACAATTAAAATAATCCTTTTGGCCGATTCCAAAAAATCTATTAGTTCAAATTTACTGTACCTGGCCATTTCCATTTGTTTTATTTGTAAGCTTGACTTTAGCGAAGGATATCGGTTCTTTCATCCAATGCGCGCCAAAGTTCGGGCTCTCGGGGTGAATGTAAATTGCGTTAGATGGCGGCACTTCAGCTTTACCACCAGGCACCTAGAAAGGAAGCAATGAAAAAAAGTTTAAACAAACATATAAGGGAAACATATTACTGAAATTTAGACATTGCCTTCAAATTACTTGAATAAAAGATGGATATTATTCGATATATAAAATTGGGAATTCAAAAACATACCCATTCCCCATTGACGTATTTCCAGCGATGTGAATCGACCTGAACGAATTCTAGCAGAACGGTGTACATCGCCGTCGGATCCAAACCGCTGGCTGTTACTTTGACTACGGGAAACATTCGTCTGAAACAAAGACAGAGTGTAAAAAACTGCTTATTCCTATCAAGTTTTAGGTACAATAAGTCACATTAGAACTCATTTTGCTTCTGCATTTTATCGCCGCTTTAACCTAACATGTTACCAGCCTTCATTATGTGCGACTTACAAAAATGCAGGGTATTGCTTCGGGTAGACATTAAAACCAATTTTAAAATTAAGATTTAGCTTTCTAAATCTAATAAGCTTTTTTTAAGAGCAGTTACAAATCTTATGGGATTTTTTTTTAAAACTATCCAATGACTTCTCCCGCTTGGGTAAGGCGAGAGAGAGTGGCAGACTCTTACTGACTAAAACCGCCCCGTCCCTACGCTCTTGCTCTGGGCCGAGACCGCGGTGACTCATTGCGCTTAACCCGCATGACTGGCTCAGCCCTATATGGCATCCCAGCTGAACATCAGCCCTATATGGCCCCGTCTGTGGTGGTCTATTGGCTTTTTGAGGCGCGCGCGGAACGTTACGCGCCGTACGCTCGGATCTGGTTCTGGTCGGGTGGCGAGCTACCCTTGCTGGCCGTCCACAGACACGCGCTCCCGATGGGCGGAAAGCATCTCTCGAAATCTTATGGGACTTAGGTTCACGATTCCACGGTTCCTGTTTTTAACCGAACGCGTTATCAACGCCGTTTGTTCCAAACCAAAGCTACATTGCATGTCCACACTACTGGAGTTAAAAGTTAAATATCTGTTTCGTGCGTAATTTTCGTTGCGTTAAAGTTTAATGAATTTATTACATTTCTAGTTCCTTATGTCTTTTTACTTGCCCTAATACCCCAATACAAAGGTAGATAAGCGATGGTAGCGATAACATAGAAAATGCATTTTTTCACTTCCTCTTTTTTATCTCTTTAGTCGACGGCTAGCCACCCAACAGGCAACAGACAGGTAGTGGACGAATAGCAACTGATTCCCAGGCCATACCTGACCATGTTTGCTCAGTTACGATAGCCTTTTAAATGACAAAGAATAGTTAAATATTGACATACATAGTAACGATTTTATGTCGAAATCGTGTTGTAGATAGGTACTATGGAGCAAATTCAAGCGCCATTATATTTTCCTTTTGAAATATTATTTCTGTGTGTTTTATACGATTAGTTCTGCATAGGTTACAGCCATAAACATTTATTTTCTTCATTATTTCTTTTTTTCATTTAATTTCTTTACCTTTTGTGGTAATTCAAGCCAATAGTAGAACAATAATATAAATTGGTTTGGTGATTATCTAATACTATACATAGTGCACCAGCTTCGCAGTTTATTTTTTCATTATATTAAATACAAGGGTAGATAGATACCCTTGTATTTAATAGGAGTTGCGGATCAAGCACAATAAGTTATCGTAGCTTGAGCCTGGAAAAGGAGGAGAAACCGGGTGGTTTTAAGTCAGTAAGAGTACATTCCCTCTCGGAGTGGAGGCTCTTGTTGGGACCCAGACCATAAAGGACTCATTTGATGATTTACCCCATTAAAGTTGATTAAAACTATTTTAATCACGCATCCTATTCACCGAAGAAGTGGGTCATCGATTTCAGCCTACATGCACATACGTTTCAAATAGAAAAACACACTTCTCTTCTCATAAAACAAACAACAAACCCAAGTAGTACCGACCCTGGAAATAGGTTAGTTTTATGAAGTAATTTTCAAATTGAAACCAATCTCGAAAAGCATTTCAAAGCAGTTTCTGCGTCATCTTGTTACAAAACAAGATTGTTTGTTTGTGAAAAACAATAGGTTGTTATAGCCTTACTCTAGAACGAAACGTCATGACTGCGTCAAGGGTAAGGGTTCCATTGCTCATCGTCTTCGGGCGGTATCATTTAGCTGTGTAGCGTTAATGAGTAAGACCTACCGCGTTAATAGCTGAAAACTAGCCGTCGGCCGGCAAGCGGTTAGCACTGGCAAAATGTGACTGTACAAGTACCTACCTAGCTACTTATGCTATCATCATTGTATTCGAATAACATAATAATATTAAGCATCTCAAAAAACTTGATAACATTTTAAAATTAATCATGTACTTAATGAACTTTATGTAACAATATACAAAATATATACGGAATGAATCCTATAGGAAAGGGAAGATCATAAGACCAAAAATACGGAAACAGAATACATGTATGATCTGAAGTCGGAAGAAGGATAGGTGTGCATTTTAAGACAGTAAAGTGAATCATTAGATAACCGCAACATTGGAGGGTGACACGTGCGTTTCCGACCTTTTGGTGACGAGGTATTTGAGGATTGTGGGACCAGTCCTCTCTTACAGAGCGAAATACAATGTTTCTGGCGTTTGTTGTGAAACCGTGTAGATAATGCGGTCGAGACGGCCCATTTTTGCGAAGTATAATAAATAGCTCTCTCACAGTTTACAAAATAACTGTAACCTTCTTTAGTTTTTGTCCAACGACTCGTAATGTCCAACGTCTTAGTCTTCGACACGAAGACCTGTCGTACCATTTCGTAAACTAGGTGGACTAAATTAAGCAAGTTGAGCTCTAAAATTGAGGCAAGAATTGGTGAAAATAACCTTAAAGATGACAACATATCTTCTAAAACACGTAGAAAAAGAAAATTACGGCTAACAAATACTTATACCTAATTCGCTTCAAATCATTTACGTAATTACTATCTAAATTGCTGAAAACCTTAGTCTAAAGAAGGTTCTCCAGGGCGTGTACAGTCTTGTAACGTCTTGCCCATTGTATTATATTACTCTAATGTAATTATGACGAAAACGTTGTTTACTTTTTAGATAGGTAGCTGTTTATACAACACCGTACTGCTAATGCGTTGCAAATCATTCATATTTTAAAGCTATTATTTATATTCCAGTTCTCAGTTCAATAAAACTATAAGGTAACAAATTGAAATGTCCATAGTGGGACAACTTGTACTTTTTGCAGGCATATGAAACCAAATTTAGATATACTAAATTCAAACATTTTTCAAGGGATACGATTAGACACTTTTTATTTGAATAAAATTATCATAGTAGGTATTAGTTAGTATTGAAGATAAACCACAAATGCGCCAATTTCACATCGACATGAAAGCATCAAATATTAATTATTCTTACTTTTCGTCTACCTGTTTGGAATAAACTTAATTACTACTAGCAGATTATGCGTCGATTTTAAGCAGTTTTCACCAACCGTTATAGAGTGACCTTAGTTGTTTCTAAATTGAGAAAATTCAAATATCGTCGGCATCACTGTGAGCGGAAAATCTACTTTTAGGTACTTCAACCAAATTAGTTGGTCTGCATGTAAAAAGTAAACAAAGATTCGACATAAACACGACCTTTTTAATATTGGCAAATCTTGTGTAACCATTCAAATTAAATTAAAATATTTATTTGAACGTAATACATAGTTCATAATGAAAGGTCTTATAACCTAGAAATCACTGTGTTCTTACTCAGCTCACTAGCCAAGCTAAGCTTACTGTTTATAGACTGAATCAATCTTTTCGTTTCTTAATACCAAACTAGTTGTCCCTAGCTGACTATAAATAACTACTTAGCAATTCTCGTGCGTTTTCACCCGCTGTTCAGCTCAATTTGATCGTGGCGTCTTGTTTTAGCACTTAGGAACATTGCACCTATCAGTGAAAGAATTATGTAAATCCGACCATTAGTTTAAAAGATTACCCCCTATATACGAACTTAAAAATTATTAATTTTACCTCTTTAAATTATTTGTTTAGATTAATTGTTTGTTATTTCTTACCTTCCATTCTTAGTGACGATCATTTCGTTGGTGAGAGTCTGGAACCGTACCCAGAGTTCTCTGTCGTCGAGCGCCACGTTGACTTCTCTTTCGCGGCCGCTGCGGGAACTGCCGCCGCCGACCGTCGGCTCAACAGCGCTCAGGATGTGCGATGCTGCCATCCTAATAATTAAAAGACATAATTTTTATTACTTTTTATTTTTAGTGAATAAATTGTCATTTTGGTCAAGTTTTCTAAAGCCCCTTTTCAAATAGGACTGGAAATATTCTAGTGAAGTAGATATTTGCGATAATTGAAATATTATACTATCAGCTGTTTTCGCGTTATAATTGGTAACAAGTAAGACCGAGTTTCATAAAAAAAATATTCCATTTGACTTAGGCAAGGAATCCTATTTTTTTATTGTATATTAGGCCAGCATACTGATTAGATACCTGCGGGCCTACCATGAAGTGTTAAAGCATGAATCTTCCGGGCGAGAAAGAGGGATGGTGCTATACACCTTTTATAGCTGCATTCCTCTTTCTCGCCCGTAAGATTATGAGAAAATGAACACGTTAATGTACCCACTGAAAGTAAAAGAACACTAGAAATAATCGTAGTAATTTAACAACTGATTAGATCAAGGCTTATCTAAAATAAAACAACAGATTTCATAGATTACGGAAACGACAAATAAAATACCGCTTCTTAAATGACATCAAGTTCCTCCTAACACTTACGTCGTCAGGAAAGTACATAGTCTGGCCATAAATACTGTTACAATTAAAAATAAACAAAATATTACATTTGAATTTGGAATGTGTCATTTTTATATAATTTTTCATTGTGTTTTCTTATTTTGGCGCCAATTAATTGTTCAATATTTTGCGATATTAAAAAGGAGTGGGGTGATAAAGAGAACCAAATCGCTGTGATTGCATTACACAAAGTGGGTATGGAGCCAAATGCAATTTTTAAAACTCTCCACACGCTTGGCTTTAGTCAAATGTTTGTGTACCGGGCTATTAAAAGGTACAATGAGACCTCCTCTGTTTGTGACAGAAAAAGATCTGGCCGTCCACGTAGTGTTCGTACGAAAAAGGTGGTCAAAGCAGTAAGGGAAAGAATTCGAAGAAATCCTGTCCGAAAGCAAAAGATTTTATCTCGGGAGATGAAGATAGCACCTAGAACCATGTCGCGTATTTTAAAAGACAACTTAGGACTTGGAGCCTATAAAAGACGCACTGGACATTTTTTAAATTATAATTTAAAAAAGTATAGGGCCATAAAATCTAAACAACTACTGAAGCGGTACGCAAAGGGAGGTCACAGAAAAATTTTGTTTACGGATGAGAAAATTTTTACAAGTGAGCAACATTTTAGCAAAAAAAATGACCGTATTTATGCTCAAAGCTCTAAGTAAGCTTCTCAATTAGTCGACAGAGTGCAACGTGGGCATTATCCGACTTCAGTGATGTTTTGGTGGGGTGTTAGCTATGAAAGAGTGACTGAGCCATACTTTTGCGAAAAAGGTATCAAAACATCGGCACAAGTGTATCAAAATACCATTCTTGAGAAGGTAGTTAAGCCCCTTAACAACACCATGTTCAATAACCAACAATGGTCCTTCCAGCAAGACTCGGCGCCGGGTCAAAGCTCGGTCCACGCAGTCTTGGTTGGAAACGACTTCATCAGAGCTGAAGACTGGCCGTCGTCTAGTCCCGATCTTAATCCGCTGGATTATGATTTATGGTCAGTTTTAGAGAGTAGGGCTTGCCCTAAACGTCATGATAATTTGGACTCCCTAAAACAATCCATACGATTGGCAGTGAAGAATTTTCCCATGGAAAGAGTGCGTGCTTCTATTGATAACTGGCCTCAACGTTTAAAGGACTGTATTGCAGCCAATGGAGACCACTTGGAATAAGCTTTTTATGTTTTAAATTGTTTTACAGTATGTGTATGTATTAAACTTACACATACTGTAAAAATAATAAATGTTATTTGCAATAGAAAAAATATTGTTTTATTTGTGACAGTATTTATGGCTAGACTAGGTATATATAAATATAAAATTGCAATTTATAGATTTATTCTATCTGGAAATATACATGTTCATTTTTTTCTAAACTTTATTTCATACTTTGGTACTCATTTTCAATTTTATTAATTCAATAAAGAAGGCTTTTTAAGTTTTATATTTACATAAATCATCGCTATCTCAAATTAAATTCCTTGTCGTCATTTACAAATGTCGTAAGGCGTCATTCGTTTCAAAAACATATTAATTCAATTACGAAGTTAACATTACGAGCTTCTCCATTACGCCATCAATGTTGTCTATAAGCAAACGAATTGGCAACAAACTTTTATGTAAGCATTTAAAGTTTAAACACTATCGCTTAATCGAAGTTCCGGATCGCACGTACGCGGATGAGTCAAAGGACTAAACGATATTAAAAATGTGAATAAGATCTATACTAATATTATAAAGACGTAAAATTTGTAAGTTTGCATGTAGAGGGTAATCTTTGGAACCACTGGTCGGATTTCCAAAATTGTTTCACTGATAGATACTCGTAGCTACAATGTTTCTGAGTGAGCCGACCAGCGGTTGAAACCACGTGGTTTCTAATAAAGCTAGTTCCTAATAAATATTATATCCAGATTCAGTTTTAGTAGCCCGAAGATTAAGGAGCCCGTTTTTCATTCATAAGGATTCGGGTTTGGACCTGGCTAATATGAATGTGATTTTTTCCGAGTTACATATTAGGCTTGCTCATATTATTTAGACACACCATTGACATAAGATGAAGGAAAACATCGAGAGGAGACCGAAACTTATAATTGATATTTATTTCTAATTACCTATACGTTTGAATTTACCAAGCGTGGTGATTAATGCTCATACCTTCTTCGTGAAATAACCTTTGCTTGTAATTATAACATTGGGTAATTATAAAGAGCTTTAAGTCAGGAAAGAAAGGAAAAGGAAGTGTGGGAGAACCATGCTTCGGCACGAATGGCTCGGCTCGACTGGAGTGATACCATGGCCTCACAGAAAACCGGCGTGAAACAACCACAGCGTTGTATTTCGTCGCGTGAGTAACGTTACCGGTGGCCCAATCCTTCCCTTTCCCCGAAATCCCTAAATCTCCAAAATCACAATCCCTAAAAAGTAGGCAACGCATTCGTAACTCCTCCGTTGCGTGTCCATGGGCGGCGCTTATTGCTTATCATCAGGTAATCCATCTGCTCGTTTACCTACCTATTACATAAAAAAGGAATACAGATAGTCAGTCTCACTCTTAATTAGTTCGTCACCATCATTATGGGTTCGTTCTTAATTAACAAAAATATTTGGAGGTTATACGGATTTATTTAATGTCCTCTTATATCCAATCTATGCCTTTGCCCAGTCATTCCTCCTTTGCTCAGCAGTAGTAGGCAATTACAGGTTGCTGATGATACCTACCCGTTTATAAAATGATTTTATTTCTGAGAACAAACAACAGAGCCACATATTTTTAAGAAGTTTTTCTTAGAAAATATATTAGTCATACTTAACAGCGGGTTCCGTGTCAATACACTACGCGCTATGACTCTCATCTGCATAAGTTAATTTGCTACCTCTAATTTTAATACATGGTTTTCAGAAGCAAAACCATGTGATACAGTTGAAAACTTGAAAATATAAAGAAATGAGAAAAGCTTCGACAAGATAAATGGAAATCACAGATCAATAAACCATCAATAGAAAACAAACACTTTAAATAGCAACTATCGTTTAATGTAATTTATACAGGTCAGAAAATTAAGTGTATTTTGGGGATTTGCTGCATGGAATCGTGGATTCAGGATTTTAAGAGAGCCCTGTTGCCCAATTTCTGGTTAATAGATATATAATTCGACAGTCGACACCCGCAGGTGTTAGCGTGATCACAAAAATATATTTTACTCTACCGTCACCACATAGCCCCTCGTTTCCACGCGGACGAAGTCGCTGGCAGAAGCCAGTTTATTAATAAATCCAAAATTGGAAAAATTATAACTTACTAGCGGCCCACCCCCGCTTCGCGCAGGTCCAGGTCGCAAAGGGTCCCTTTTCCCCAATATTCCCCTCTACTTTTCTAATATTTTCTTTCATAAAAACCTTCTCCTGACAATAATAAATACAAAACAAAAGGTTTTAGCAAAATTGGTGCAGGCGTTTTTGAGTTATGCGCTTACCAACACATTTTGCGATTCATTTTTTCGCTCTTGGCTGTAAATATCTAAAATGGACGGGCTATGGTTAAATAAAATTCATGGAAATCAAAGAAAAGAATTATAAAATGATTTCCATCTCACACACTTATCGAATTCGTATGACTGCCAAGTGAATCGATCACGTCTGACATTAAAATTACACACACACACAGCGTTGTATATTTATAACAGTGTGTAAATATAAAATCAAAAGAATTTCTGCTAACACACAAAACATATTGTGAAGAAATGTATTTGTTTAATATCTTAACAGACATTTCGTTACGACATCGGGGTAAGTAAGTAAGTAAGCACTAAGTCCTTGAATGTAGTAAATTGGATTGTACTATACCTAATGAAAGATTTTTTTATCATTTCGCAAAAGATGTGGTTTTTTATTCGCAATTTTTTTTCAAAACTGTCATTACATTCTGGCGTCAATTTTTGAAAACAAAATTACTATCCTAACTCTGAAAAATCTTAGAGTAAGTATATCGTCAAATTAATTATTGAACGCATGATCATTTGTTTTCTTTATTCATTGTACAGTAAATTGTAATAATTTGTTTTTGACCTAGGAAACTACGCAATTACAAGAGATAAAATTAATTGAATCGCAAAAAGTATGTAGGTCGTAAGACTTTTGTGGGAGTATTACGAATATCATTTAAAATATGTACGAGTACATCAGATATACGTTCGGTAATAGAGTTAGATCCGATCCTGTTTTTATAAGGAAAAGGCTAAAATGATAGGGTGAAGTGAATTTGGCAATGATTTACAATTTAATTGCGTCATTAATTACTTCCATTTTAATAAAATACGATTATAAATAATACCTATTTCGTAAAGATGGAACATAATTATTCCATAAAAATGTTACTGGTGATTGTACTTAGTAGTGTAAAAGAGGTAAGCTTCACGAAGTCCA